CCAAAGGAAACACATCTGCCGCCTTAAGCTGCTGGCCAGGCCCAGCTCTTAAAGCTAGGAAGCACACAGCATCCTAGAATATTTTCCTGATGAGAGAAGGAAAACTCCTCCCTTTCTTCCTTCGCTGACCTTCCATAGGAAAACAAAGAGACCCCACAAAGGCAGACCTGGAGATGGTCTCCACCAACATCCAGTATCTCTGAATCCAAGTCACAGAAGAAATTCTCACGCGGAGGCGACAAGCCTGTCAACAGGGCAGTTTCAATCTTCTGAAAGCACAGGGGAGCCGGAGGCGCGCCTGGCTGGCCACCCAGCGCCAGGCGAGCGGAAATGAAGGGTCGCTCTCTAAGATCACCTTCTCATGCGTCATTCCATGCCTTGGCTCAGTGGAGCAGAATAAAGACGGCGAAAAGAAACTGCTACCAAGTCATGTTATTGAGGGGAAATATTTCAAGAGTTTTTAAATAAATGCCTGGTTATTGTTTTCTCATTTATGATTCTTACCTGATGGTGCTCAGGGATCACTCCTGGTTGTGTGTCAGGGATCACTCCTGGTCCTGTACTCAGGGATCACTTCTGGCTGTGTGATTAGGGATCAGTCCTGGCGGGGCGCAGGGAGTGCCAGGGATCAAACCTGGGTCAGTCACAAGCTAGGCAGGCGTCATACCTGTTGAACTCTCTCTGGCTCCTGGTTAGTTGTCCCTGGTACACCAGCTGGTCCTTCTAGTTCACAGGACACTGGAGAAGAACCCAGCAGGAAGAGGAACTGATTTGTCTTGTCCTACCCAGTATAGGGAGGGAGGTCTAGAAGTCCCTGTGATTGGGGAGCAAGAGAACAGCCCAACACTGGAATTCAGTTGGGGGCAGCGGGGTGGTCTCCAGGCCCTGGATCATGCTCCAAGTTCACAGTTCTCAATCGTGGTGAGTCACAGTAACCAGATTTTAAAAATACAACCATTTAAAAAATTATTTTAGATTACTGGGCTGGAGATACAGGTCATCAGTGAAGGTGCTTGCAGGGCACACAGCTGACCTGCCATCCCAACCCTGCCAGGAGCGACCGCTGAGCACAGAACCAGGAGTAACCCTGAGCGTCACCTGGTGTGTCCTAAAACCAAACTTTGGGTTATTTTGTGGGATGAACTCAATCAGCCCAGATGACCTTCAAGTGAGTGGTTAAGGCCTGGAGTGCAGGCGCAAGGAGGAGCACTGTGGTCTTGTCTGTGTGGGATCTGATTCAATCCCTCACACCACGTGGTCATGAATGTCCCCAAACCCTGCCTGGTGTGGCCCGGGGGGCCTCCAAATACCGGGGGGGTGGGTGTCCAGGTGGTTCTGCCTCCGCAAGCCTGAGCAGAGCCACATCCTTGGGCCCTCCCTCAAGTGCAGGCCTGGCTGGCCAACCACCAGCAGGATTGCTTGAGAGCCCACCACCCCCCGAAATAAATAAGACCCACTTTATGTACCTTTTGCTGAGTTTCTCCCATGGGAACAACTCGCCAGGCCACCGCAGTCTGACACCCCTTTTCACGGACTATGATCGAGGTTCGAAGGCCTGCACAGCTAATGCGGCCATGACACCTCCCCCCCACGAGGGCCCCCAGCTCCACTCCGCTCCCCTGTGACGCCAGGAAGTTGGTGTAGACCAGCGCTCAGTCTTGGTGCTCACACTTCTCCGGCTTCCCCTGAGCTCTACTGTGGGCTCAGCCACACGACCCAGAAAGGTGACGTCCATTGGGAGCCCTAGGGCATGGCCCGTTGCTCGCAGCCTTCCCACCCGACTCACCTCCACTCCAGCCTTCGAACCTCCTCGAGGTGGTGGAGGATTTCGGGGGGCAGCTCAGGGGCGGAGTGCGCCCGTCTCACAGGCATGAGGCCAAGACTTGAACCCTTTGTGCCGCCCACCCAGCAGCTCTGTTGGGACCCCGTGGGTGCCACAGCAGAAACCCCATCTCTGGTGTGACCTGCACAAGAAGTGTAAGCGGGTGTCCCACCCACCCTACCAGTCATCACAGCGACAGCAGCCAGAGGAGGGGGCTGCTCCGGAATGAGATCACACGCACCAGTCTCGGGGACCAGTGGATCCCTCTACGTTGATCCCCGGGTGCCTCTGGCCAGCACCTTTCTTTTTATTGCCAATCAGCAATTTCATGGTGTCAACAGAGCTTAACCTGGCCATGCCCGAGTAGGTGGTACCGGCCCCTCCCCCAGGGGTTCCACACCCATGCAGGGGGTGGTCTCAGCCTCCCATGCATCTCAGGGGCACTGCTGGTTTTCCACTCAGGCAGCAGGTCAGGAGCGCGCGGGGTAATTGTGTTTCCAAGGAGAGTGTGGGCGCCTCCAGGTTAACCACTGATTTGGTGAAGGCCATCTGGGTTCATTCCAGCTTGGGGCGAGTAAGGATGTTTCCGGTTCTTCCTTGTCTCTTGTCTCACTTGTGTGTGTGTGTGTGTGTGTGTGTGTGTGTGTGTGAGAGAGAGAGAGAGAGAGAGAGAGAGAGAGAGAGAGAGAGAGAGAGAGAGAGAGAGAGCGCTACCCAGCTACCCTACCTTCATTATTTTTTAAAATCTCATCTTGCTTTTTTTCCTTTCCATTTTTTTTTATGAGGTAAGCTGCACAGAACATGCAATATGCCATCACGGTAATTTCTCTCAGTGGACATCTCGGTGGCACTGATATATCCACCACCTTGGGCAACCCTCAGCACCACCCCCAACCTCCCTTGTTCCCCTCCCCGACCAAGCCCTTTCTCTGGCAAAACTGAAATTACACCCATCACATGTGAACTTCATCTTTCTTTCCCCGCCCCAAGTACATCCAGGAAGGGGGACTGATTATACAGTGCTTCTTTTTTGTTGTTGTTTGGGGTCACACCCAGCAATGCTTGGGGTTACTCTTGGCTCTATGCTCAGGAATCACTCTTGGTGAGACTCGGGGGGACCATATGGAGTGCAGAGGATTGGGTTGGCCATGTGCAAGGCAAACACCCTACTTTGCTGTACTATTTCTCTGACCCCCCTACATCTTTTTATTTTTTTGTTTTTTTTTGGGTCACACCCAGCGATGCACAGGGGTTACTCCTGGCAGTTCTCGGGGGACCATATGGGATGCTGGGGATAGAACCTGATCTGGCTGCATGCAAGGCAAATGCCCTACCCACTGTACTATGGCTCCAGTACCACGTTATAATTTTCTAAAAAGCACTTGATTCCATTTACATGGCATGACCAAGAAAAGTAAGCCATCTGGACTTGGGGGCGGGGATGGAGATTGAAGACAAGAGCCCAGAGGCGAGTTGGAGGCACCCAATCTTTCCAGCAGGCTGCCCGAGCAAGCTTTGTCTTGGGCACACCAAGCAGTTCAAAGGTGCTCAAACACACAATTTGCATTGTTGGTACAAACAAACAAGGACCCAGGTGCCCGGAAAGATCTATTCCGGATGGCCAGCAGCCAGCACATTTCCACATGTGTGCCTTGTTGTTGTTTTATTTGGCGTTTACCCTATATTATCCCTTTGCTCAGGTCACCTGGAACTTCAAAGGCACGTCGAAGGCAGGCATTTGAACATGCCTGCAGTGTTGCATTTGTCATCCCACAACAGGGTCTTTTGGTGCGACGGCAAGGTCCCAAGAAACAAATGCCCGCCCTGCAGAGGCACTGTCCCAAGAGGAGCCCGCTACCTCCTGCTCTCATGCCTGGCGGCGTTGGTCCATACAAGCGGTCAGCAACTTCCTGGTACTGTGCTCTGTGCAAACGCTCTCACAGCTGCCCCTCCTCCCCCAAGGCCCAAGAATAAAAGGCCACAGGAACCTGCTGCCTCCCGGGCCCACAGGAGTGGGACCCCCACGAGTTCTTTGGAGGCCAGGGACTCGGGGAGGACAGGACTGGCTTTCTTTAAAAAGAAAGTGATGGCTGGGGGTGGGTCCTGGGGGCAGATCCAAACCCCTGAAAGAAATGAGTGTGCTGGGTGAGTGTGTGTGTGTGTGTGTGTGTGTGTGTGTGTGTTTCTGATGGCTCGCACTCCTGCTGGCCTTTATCCGCTACGTTGACATCACAGTCCATCCGTGGGGCCCGATGTGAAGTGCAGCACTCTCCTGTTTGGAGGCAGGGAGTTCTCTATTTCAACAAGGAATCCTTTCATTCTAAGACACAAATTTCAGGAGAAATACCGGGGGGGAAAAAATCCCCTGGCATGTCTGAGATTGAAGAGCTGAAAACCATGAGGTGGACCCAAGAACTGGTGAAGCTGGTGGGAAGGCAGCCACGCGTGGGAGGAACATCTGAGGAGGGTGGATGAAGGCTTTACCTGCCTGCCCGCACGAGGAGGGGATCCCTGGAGCTTGCTCCGCACTGCACCCCATCCCCCTCCTGCTACAGGGCACAAGGAAAAGACTGGAGGGGCGAAGGGGGAAATTGTAAGCATCAAATTCGATTTTCTACTGTCAGAAGCTGAGAGTAGATCAGCATTTCCACTGAAAACCTGAGACTCACCCTGAAACGTCAAGTTCAAGTCACGTATGCAGAAGATTCATCAAAATGTGACTTTCCCTGTCTCTTTCTCCCCTTCAAATCACAGTGAGAACTTTATTTGCCCAGGGAAAGGCGTTGGAAGACAAATGTACAAAACAGACAAACAAAAAGGCATCTTGAGAACCCTTATGTACATCCTCTGTTTATAATTCAGGCATCGTATTTCAAAAGGCCACGTCCACCAGTTTGGTAAATATACCAACTGTGTCACAGGCCACTTGTCAGCTAAACATCCACTGTCCTTTGGCTCCGGGGACCATCCTCTGCCTCCGCGCTGGGTCTCGGGAGGGCTGGTGGCGCACGATCCACGCGGGAGGCAGGCGCTGTTTCCTGTGAGCACTTCCGCTTGGCTGCCTTCGCCCTCCGCGGGGTGTGCAGGCCCAAGTCAGCCGAAGAGATGAGAAGGCAGAGGCTGGCGTCAGCTGGTGCCGCGGCCATCCGGGAGGGGGGCGAGCCCCGTGGTGCTGGCGCTGGGGCCTGGTGCCCTTCTCTGGACCCAGGGGACTCTGGAGGCCTCTGCAGCGTCCGTGCTGGATGTTCAGAAAGTACTTTCCAGCAGGCAGTGGCAACCACAGCCGGTTGGGCACACCTCCTGGGTCCGAAACCACTCCATCATGTGGCTGGTGTGGCCGCCGTGGCCGCAGGTCAGGCAGAAATTGGAGGAGCCCCGCACGGCCACGTGGCAGATGACGCACTGGAAGGTGAAGCCTTTGCAGAGGGCACACTGCGTGCCCCGGACCTCGCTGCGGCAGTGGCTGCAGTACACCCCGAACTCTGCGGCCAGAACATGACACAGTGAGAGGGAGGAAGGGTGTAAAACTGACACTCTGGAGGGGGGGTCCCAGGGCAGGGGGCAGAGAGAGTCTGGGACAAGCACTGCAGGACCCCACTGGGCTCTCCGTGGGCAAGCCCAGGATGTTGAGGCCTGTCCTGGCGCACAGACCCATCGGCTGGCAGTCCCGAGGTGTCAGGAAACCGGCCTTCAGGGGCTGCATCCACGGGCGGCTGGATGGTGGCCCCTGGCTGGCGTCCATGTGTGTTAGCAGACACAGCCGCGGGTCAGGCAGAGGGAAATTCGCAGCCAACAGGTGGACACGAAACTGAGCAGCCGCCCACGGCTCAGGCGGCAGAGCCGGCACCTCCGGGGCAGAAGCTACCCGTCTCCTGGCGCTGAGCTCCGGCCCGCCCCCATGCAGACAAACGGGGCTGGCACCTTCCTCCCGGAGACATGTTTGGGTCCGCGGAAGATTCCCCCTCCCCAACCCTGACTCACCTCATCCCCTGAAACCAGGTCTATGAACACTGACCCTCCCCTTCAGTGACAGCCACTTTTGCCTCACCCCTGCTGCAGGACGGGAGACCTCAGGCGTCGTCTCACGAGCACGGAGCAAACTGCCAGACGCCCCCTGGGAGACTAGCTGGTGCTGGGGAGCCCTGTGGCAAACGTCCCTTCAGGACCCCCCCCCATCTGCCGGTGGGTGGGCTCAGTGCGCCCAGAGTCCAGACTGTACAGGTGGAAATACTTACCCTTACTGTCTGTTGGAGAATTCTTCATGATCCCCAAGGCCCTAAGAATCTTACACTACTGCTAACGTCAGGAGTATGGATTCTCTATTCATCCTAGAATATCATTCCACCTTCTGGAGCTTCTAGTTTTCCTCTGGATTACAGACTTCTGGGCCGCAAGTCTCCCTCCCTCCTTACAGAGCCCTCGGCGCGGCCGGTGGGGCTGCACAGATGCACTAGGACAGCTACAAATCTCTCCCCGAAAGCAACTTTTGAAAGCCCAAGTACTCCAAGGACATCATTCAGTTCTCCCTGATAAGCCAACAAGCATTTAGCTGCCCTAAAAAAATAACACATCCAATAGCCTTTGCGTTTTTGCATTTTTTTCCCAGGATACAGACACACAACACACACACACACAAACACAGAGTAAAACAATCCTTGCTGCTCGACAACTAAATCTACGTTTGATTCTGGTTTGTTTTGTTTTTGTTCTTTTGTTTTAATGGCAACTATCTGCCTAACAACTTTAAGAGTCAAAGACATGGTGGCCGGAGAGATAGTACAGCGGGTAGGGCGTTTGCCCTAGTTTGACCCGAGTTCGATTCCCAGCATCCCATAAGGTCCCCTGAGCATTGTCAGGGGTAACTCCTAAGTGCAGAGCCAGGAGTAACCCCTATGCATCGCCAGGTATGACCCAAAAAAAGCAAAAAAAAAAAAAAAGACATGTGGCACATTTTTTTTGTGGGGGGAGGGGCGGGGGTGAAGGTAAACCCAGTGATGTACTCTTTCTCTAACCCCACTTTTGTACAATCTTTTTTGTTTGTTTGTTTGTTTGTTTTTTGTTTTTAGGCCACACCTGCAATGGTCAGGGGTTACTTCTGACTCTGCCCTCAGAAATTATTCCTGGCGGGCCTCGAGGGACCATATGGGATGCCGGGGCCAGCGCCCCGACTTCTGTATATTTTACCAACAAATCCGACACTGGCGCCCAGGGCACCTGCCTCTCTGGAGGAAACCTCCAGCTCCTTGGAGCCTCCATCTCCCTCTCTCTAAGCACCGCCCATGACATCATTTCCAACTTCACAAACTTCAAGATTTTCTACGACCGACTCCCCAGTGACCCGTCCCTGGTCCCTGTCGTCTCAGCGCACACAGTGGCAAAGTCCCTCAGGCGAGGTGCTCCCCGGTTAGTCCTACCGTTGCTGACTGCTCCGTACTGTTTGTTTTTAAAATAATGTTTATCTAAACATGACTCAAAGTAAGTCATACAGCACAGTGACACTTCCTTCTGATGTTGTTTTTCCTACAGTTACTGCCTTATTCATTAGCAATAATTCATCTCCAAACTCTCCCTCAAATATCCGAATCCTCCAGAAACATGTGCCACGCGGGAAGTCCTAGCACCTCAGCGCTCTCTTCTTGCAGCCCGAGTCTCTCGCCCCGCCCTGGGTTCCCCTTCCCTGCTCAGGCTCACACCTCCCAGCCGAAGCCGCCTCCTCGCATGGGGCAGGATCGTCCGGGCAGTCTACACCAGAGAGAACTCGCTGTCTGGGTCATTCTCACTGTCCTCTCATTCCCCGTGCCCAGTTCTCTGCTCTCTGCTCCAGGGGACAGAAGCCATTCCTATTCCGCAGCCTTTGTGTGGGACCTGTGTTCTCTCTCTGGAACCTTCTGGAACTTTCTCTTTACCCCGGGTCTTCCTTCGTCATGCTGGGAGCTGAGTGGGCCCTCTGGGTCTGGAGAACAAAGCTCCGATCTCCTGCTGGACTCCCAGCTTGGTGCTGTGCTTGGGGGCTGCCCGTGGAGGCACTCAGGGGACCACACACCTGGGGCTCCTGCGAGCAGAGCACGTGCTCAGTCTGTCCACCCTCTATGGCCCTGCAGGTGACACTTTACCACGACTCACAGATCCTCCATCCTCCATCACCCATAGGGTCTGATTTTATCCCACTCTCTGCATCACTGTGTCCTGACCGGCAAGCCTCCCTCACTCCCTACACCCGTCCCCCACTGGTCTGGCGCACGGCCAGCTCTTCTCACTGCTGCCCACACAGAAGGCTCCTCCTTGCAGACACAGTTCCTCAGAGGCCGTCCAGGGCACCCCAGCGTGGCCCCCAAAATGCTTCCTCTCTGCCCTGACATCCTCTCTGTTTGCTCAGGAATGGGTTCCCTATTTGTAATAATATTTAAGTTTTCTGCGACAGGGAGAAATGGAGACATTACTGGCCCCTGCTCGAGCAAATCGATGATTAACGGGAAGTCAAGTGATCAAGTGATTTAAGTTTTCTGCTTTGCTGGTCTAAGTTCCACAAGGGGAAATGAAATATGCGAGCACTAGGCCTAGGAGGGACTCGATATATAATGGCTGAACACAAATTCTAATAGATGTTTTACTTCCCATCAGTATCTGAGCATGTTACATAAAAACTACTTGTTGTTTCAAGAGAAAGTTAACCTTGCCTTGAAATGCAAAACTTTTGCGTTTGGGTTTCCAGACCCCTCAGTGGTACTCGGTAGCCACTCCTGGCTCTGAGGTCAAAGGGGAGCCCTGGTTATACTCAGGCACTGAGAATCAAGGTGGGATCAGCAGGATTCCAGGCAAACGCATACCCCCAGGCCTGATGGTCTAACCCCCAGACTTTGTGTGTGTTTGAGTTTCCCGAAGCTCTTTTCTGGGGCTGCCAGCAGGACCCAGGCTGTGCGTGTGTTGGGGGGGGGGCGGGAAGGGGAAGGGTGTCAGCTGGTGCTGTGAAACGGCCTCAGGTGCCTGGCGCCATGCCCTCCCGCTCGCCTTGGGAGCCCTCTCCCAGTCTGAAGAACAAAGGTGCTCAGAAGCTTGTCAATGAGAAGCTAAAGCTTCATTCAGTCTCGTGTTTGGACAAAATAAGCCACAGCCGCTCTCAGACAGGGAAGGGAAGGGGAGGCAGTTCCCACTCACCGATTCCTTTGTGCGGGTCAGGTGGGCAGGACACGAACTTCAGCACTTCGGCGCGCTTCTCCCGAAGCCCCCAGCGGTACAGGATCTCCCCGTAGCACTTCTTGAAGTCGTCAAACTGCTGCGTGTTGGCGGGGTCCAGCAGCCTGGGGCAGTGGCAAAGGTGTCCGGTGAGTCCCTTTGCGGCCCAGAGCCCATCTCCGGGGGCCCTGGAAGGGCACTGCGCCGCCGCTACCTTTTGTTTTTGTCATGCTGGTCACGCTCCCGCTCGCGGGGGTCACTGTAGGTCAGGCTCCCGAAGCGGATCTCTTCCGGCGAAGACTCTCCCCAGGGGGAGGATGTGTGCTCCGTGTCTCTGCCCGCTGAGGGGAATCAAATGGGAGGTAAAGAAGAAATCAGACCGCGGGGGCACGATCCGAAATCCCCTGAACACGGCGGGCATCCAAATCACTTCCTGGAGAAAACGAGGCTCAGGAGAAGGGCCTGAGAAAGAGGACTAAGCTGAGACAGCACAGCGGGCAGGCAACTGCCTGGCACACAACTGACCAGGGCTCAATTCCCAGCATCCGACATGGTCCTCAGAGCCTGCCAGGGGTGATCCCCGAGCCAGAATAAAGCCCTGAGCACCGCCGATGCCCCCCCCCAAAAAAAGAAACAGTGCTTCCCTACTCAAACTTTTTTGTACAAGGCTCTAGATATTATGATTTTATTTTAGGTTTGGCGGCCACACCTGGCAGTTCGCATGGACTCCCTCTGGATCTGTGCTCCGGGGGAGTGGGAACCACATGTGTGAGGCAAACGCCTCCCTTCCCATGCTGCCCTTCGGGCCCCGGTGTTTATTACTAGGTGACTTGAAAGTACATAAGGAATGATCAAGCAAATGACAGTCTGGGGTTATCGGGTAGGAGGCCGCCATTATTATAAAAGCTTTCTGACATGTTCAAGTGTGAAAGTGACATGAGAAGATGGTCCTGAGAAAATTTAAAACGGAACACAAAATCACAGTTATAGAATGATCCCACACACCCAAAGACTGGAAGAAAATGTTCTGGAATGTTAACAGATGTTATTTCTAGGCGGAGGATTAGTGATTTTACTAATTTCTCCTCTAATATTTGCATCAGCTTTTCACTCCAGGCTCTGAGCTCAGCTGAGTCCAAGGCAAATGCCCTACCTTCAGTACTACTGCTCTGACCCCAAACTGCATTTATAATAATCATAATAATCTGTAACAGGGCTGGAGCAATAGCACAGTGGGTAGTGGGTTTCCTTGCACATGGCTGATCTGAGTTCGATTCCTCCACCCCTCTCAGAGAGCCCGGCAAGCTACTGAGAGTATCTCGCCTGCACGGTAAAGCCTGGCAAGCTCCCCGTGATGTATTCGATATGCCAGACACAGTAACAACAAGTCTCATAATGGAGACGTTACTGGGCCCGCTCGGGCAAATCGATGAACAATGGGAGGACAGTGACAGTGAATCATGAGCAACTTTTGTAAAAAACTAAATAAGTAAATCAATATTTGAAAAATAATTATAGTGAAAAAAACAATTAAGATCATTTTACGAGGGAAACTTAAGCCGGCTCACGGGCTGGAGCAGCTGCTTGCAGGATGGCACCTGGTCACCATGGGGTCCCTGAGTATCAGCAGGGGCAAGTGGCCCTCAGGCACTGAGCTGGGAGTGAACCCAAGCACTGCCGAGACTGGCCCAGAAACAAAAACCAAGAAATGTTTAAAATCCAGAAGACATAAATATATCCACTCATCAGATTTTTATGGCAGGGTGTAATCTCACTCAGCTTTAATTCTCGACATCAACAGGAGGCGCCTGGGAAGAGGCGGACAATCAAGGAAGAGACTTGTGAGGAGCAAGAGAGGGACGGGCTCTGGGGTGAACACTGGGAACTCCACTGTCAGGCACTCAAGATGATGAGACGCACAGTACCCCCAGAGGCAAGGTGGCTCGGCATTACAGCACTCGCCTTGCAAGTTGAGGCCTTGGGATCCTGGCACCACATCTGCACAGACATGTGTCTACACACACACACACACACACACACACACACACACACGGAACTCAGAAAAACACCAGAACCTACAGAAATGGCCTGTTCAAATCTGAAAAATGGGCTGGAGTAAGAGTACAGCAGGTAGAGCATTTGCCTGCAAGCGGCTGACCCGGGTTCAACTCTCAGCATCCCAGGAGTCATTTCTGAGTGCAGAGCCAGGTACCCCTGTACATCGCTGGGTGTGACCCCCCCCCCCAAAAAAAAACCTAAAGCGAAACACAAAATCAAATGTGAAAAACATATTCCCCTGATAATACAGTTACAGAAGAGATTCGAAAAGCCATGCAAAATATTCATCCACCAAGAACAACGTATCAGCAGCCGGGAGCCAGAGGGCTGATTCGCTCTGCAGATGCGACCATGCCATGAAACAGCAGGCCTCGAGCCACCTCTGAGTATAGCGCCCACTGGGTGCAGCGCCCCCAAACCAAAACACATGCTCTGTGACGGGAACTCACAGGAAGTTCTCGGAGCGCAGGAAATGCAGCCGGGCCTCCTGCGCTAACCTACCTATGTTCCAGCCGCCGGTGTTGAGCCCTGGGTCGGACATGCTCGAACAGGAGCCAGAGGACGTAAAGCTGGGCTGTTGGACGAACAGACAGACAGGAGCAGAGTCAGGACAGTGTCCCCAGGCAGGCTGACCCCCTGGGCAAGGCAGACACACGGTGGGGAAAGCGGGGGCTTACGTAGCGACTGTGTGACACCACGAGGTTAGAGGAGCGGCTGGGGAAGGGCCCGAAGGGGTTGGGGATTCCCTGAGGCCGAGACTGGGCTTCAAACACACTGCAGAGCATCGCCAACGTCTGGACGTCCCGGAGGCGGCAATAATGAGCCAACCTGGGGCACAGGGGAGCGGGGAGAAATGTGTCAAGAGATGGGGCGGAGGAAGAGGGGCCCTGGGGCTCGGCCTCCCCCAGGGACGCACTCCGCTGGCCTGGTGGGAGGTCACCTACACTATCCTCCAGTCTCCGTTCCAAAGGAAAGTTTCACTGCCTTGGGGATGGGGGCCCCAGATGCTTTAATCAAGTGACCTAGGGCTACATGAAGTCTCCCCCAAGCACTATGAGCAGAGACTAGAGCAGCTCATGTCGCGCGAGCTACTAACTCAGGGCACAGATGCAACACGCGTCCCTGGGAGTAAGGACAGAGACTCTGGCCCTGCAGAGGGGTTATATTGACGCTTTGCAAGAAACATGCTTTATTTCAGGCATGTCTTCACCTTCCTTATGGTGTCTGGGCTTGACAGAGGGTGAGTGGGACAAGCACGATCATCTCAGTGTCGTCACTGAGAAACTGAGGCACATGTCCTGGGTGGGGCCTCCCTGGGGAGCCAAAGCCAGCTTCCCCCAAGGAAACCAGAGCATCTGTATCTTGGCCGGGATCTGGGCCTCACACCACGGAGATAAAAGTGGCTGTGGATCACTTGGCACATTTTATTTCTAGTTTGTAACGCAATAAATGAAGCTCAAGCCCAACGTCTTCATAAACTGCCTGATGGGGTGAAAGCGTCAAGGTCTTTGGAAACGATGAAAATCAACATGCAATGGTGGAGGAATCTGCTCTCAGTGAGCAAAACTCTACAGCCCATCTCAGGAGCTCCAGTTCCTGAGTGGTGATCGATTTGACGTGACCTGCAGCTACCGCATCAATCTTTCGGGGAGCCTCATGCCCACACTACGAGTGACATCAATGACACAGTTCCTCCTGCTTGAAGAAATCCATTCTGCACAGAAACCCCCTTGGTGCGGAAAGGAAAGCTCTCCCTGCCTCCCCCGTTCTCAGGCCCCGGGACTCCTCTCTTAACGGACCTAGAAGGGGCATCGCTCTTTTCCTCACTTTCAGTTCTCAAAACCTACAGGGACTCCAGCAGCTGTCGCCCGAACGGATGTCGCGCCCAGGGTGTCTCCAGATCTGGGTCAGACTTCGGACCAAGGCAAAGGTCTGTAGCGACTGTGGCCAGCGACCAAACCTGGACAGGTCAGAGAGAAACCCAGACTCAGCGTGGGGAGGATGGGAGGCAGCACGGGGTAGAGCCCGCCGGCCTCCCCACGCAGCCTCCACCTTGCTGCTCTAGGCTGGGAGGCAGAATCTGAAGTCCTGCTGCAGGCCTACTGAATCCAAATCTGCGTTTTTAATAATCTCTGAGGGCTTCAGTGCCCAATTATATCTGAGATGCACGAGCCTTAGCAACTTTCACTAAAGGCTCTTTAAAAAAAATGACTTGGGGGCTAGAGCAATAGCACAGCGGTAGGGCATTTGCCTTGCACATGGCCGACCCAGGTTCAATTCCCAGCAACTCATATGGTCCCCTGAGCACCACCAGGGGTAATTCCTGAGTGCAAAGCCAGGAGTAACCCCTGTGCATCACCAGATGTGACCCAAAAAGCAAATAAAAAAAAATGACTTGGAGAAATCTCTCCGGGTGGATAGACAGTACAGCGGGGAGGGTGCTTGTCTTGCATGCAGCCAACTGGGGTTCGATCCCAGGAATTCCATATGGTCCCTGAGCATCACCAGCGTGTTTCCTCTTTTTTGGGGGGACACATGCTATGGTGATCAGGGCTTACTGCTGGCTCTACCCTCAGAAATCACCCATGGAGGGAGAGGTTCTGGGGACCAGAAGTGGTGCCCGGGATCAAACCCCGGCTGGCTACATGCAAGGCAAGGCCTGTACTCACTATGTTATCTTTGGCCTCCTGGGTTCTGTTTAGTCACTAAGTTGGTGGTTTTGTCTGTTGTTAGTAATCAGATGGGGAATAAAAAAAGAGTAAGTGCATTCTGGGGTTTTGTTGTTGTTGCTGTTGTTTGGGGGTCACAGCCAGAGGTTCTCAGGAGAGTTAGGCCACGTGCAAGGCAAACGCCCTGCGCCCCACCCCCCTACCCGCAGTACTCTCGCTCCAGGCCAAGTAAGGCATTCTGATGCCCCTGAGATCTGCCTTTCTTTCCCAGTTAATGAAAAGTTTACAAATTTAGATATGCATCCGTAATCATGGTGCAAGAATAGGAAAGAGATATGATCGAGAAAAAAAGTACAGACTAAGTACATTTTGGACCTTCTCAACTATGCACCCATCAAGAAAAATGTGCAAGGGACTTCGAAAACCAGATCCAGCTGCTGAGTTTGGCAAAGAAACTGGGAGAACTGCAAAGGAGGAGGACATCTTAGAATGTCACTAACTCACAACCCTCAAGCAAAAATAACTGCCGTAGGAGGGAAACACGAGAGCCCCAGCCAGAGGCCTGGACCCACCTGGACAAGGTCCTTCCTGCCCACCAGCAAGGCAGAGGTGGCATTCTTCTGGCAGGTCTCCTGAATGTCATTCACATTCAATCTGCAATGTCAAAAGCAATGAGAAGGTTGCTGTCTAGGCACTGTCCAAGTGCAGGCCCTGGTTTTGCAAACAGATTAGGAATAGCCTCCTTGGTCTCACTCAAGGGCTGCTGTGACTCCTGCTGACATGTAGATTTTGTTCCTACATGGCAACAAAGAAAACGCTCAACCCTGGCTACCATGGGGTTCCCAGGGATGCTAGGAGACCAGGTGGCGCCGGGGTTGGGACCCAGAGTCTCACAATGCACTCCGAAGAGGTGCTATTTTAGCTGGTTTCAGTTCCTGGAGGTGGGAGGGCATTTCTGCCTCCTATCCTCCACTCCCTGCATAACTCCCTCCACCAGCAAAGGCCCCTCTTAAATGTTCATGGCACATCCCTCCTGTGGACTTGTCAAAGGGGTGGTAGCTAGGGACGGGCCTGACCCAATCAAGCCGGCTGCCATTCCGGGAGATAAGGACAGCCACAAGGTGGGAATCCACCAGCAGCCTGAACGAGGCTGGACTGGAACCCTGAGCATCGGGCAGGTGAGACCACGCGCCTCGAGGGGGAGCCCCAGCCAAGACACGCCCAGACTTCTGATCCAAGCAAATCAGGAGGCAATAAACAATCTTTTCTGAGGCCAGTCAAGTTCCGGAGCAGGAGATGAAAGCTACACCAGTGGTTTTCTAAAGAACTGCCTTAGAACAAAGAAGGATTTTGAAGCTTGAAAAAAAAAAAGAAAGAAAAGCGTGACAACTGTGACGACAGAAGTGACCAGCACAGCCTTCTTAAACTCACATATAAAGTTCTCCCAGCGACTTGTGAACCGGAAGCAGGCAGGCAATGTCTTGGATGACCACCTTGCCGGCAGCCTTGATGGGGCGGTTGCCGGAGTCCGACCCCTCACGCTTACTCTTCCACCTCCTTGATTTCTGCGGGGAGAGAAGAGGCTGTGAGTAACGGGGTGTGATGGGGTGGGGAGCGACAGCTGCAGACACAGCAGAGCGGGGAGCTGGCTCACTGCGGAGACTTTGCGTTACATCATACCTACAACCACACACCTTAGCATCTGGAGGAAACGAAAGGTGACAAAGGGCCTGGAACTCTAGGGCTCAAAATCCCAACAGGCAAAACAAAAGTACCTGCCGCAGGGCTGTGTACATTGTGGGTGCTCAGAACAGACATCCCCTAAAGTTAGGGTTTTATTTATTTATTTATTTTAAACAAAGGGGGAAAAAAAGGGCCAGAAAGCAAATCAGTAGAGACCTCGAAAATGTCAGAGGACAACTTCAGTTTTTTCCCATGGGCGGTTCAGGGCCAAGTTTAAAGTTTTTACTTGCCACTGCTCACTGTCTTTTTTTAATTCTATTTATTCATTTTAAATTTTAATGTAGGAGTATTGCTATTTATTCACTGATCACTGTCTTAACAGTTTTCAACAGGCTGGTCAAGAACTTAACTCAGGAGTGGGCAGGAGCGATAGCACAGCGGGGAGGGCGTTTGCCTTGTATGCGGCCGACCCGGGTTCAATTCCCAGCATCCCATATGGTGCCCCAAGTACCGCCAGGAGTAATTCCTGAGTGCATGAGCCAGGAGAAACCCCAGTGCATTGCTGAGTGTGACCCAAAAAGAAAAAAAAAGAACTTAACTCATACACAGCTCAGGGAGAATGGGACAACAGAACCTCTGCTTTTACCAGACCCCAGTGATTTCGAAAAGCCATCATCTCAGCATGTTTGAAACCCTGGAGCAGAGGGAGCTGTGTAATGCGTAATGGACATGGAAGAGCATGAGTGACTGTTCGATCTCCCCAGAGTTTCACCTACAAACAGTTACAGGGGGCTCAGATGTGTCAAATGAGAGATGTGCCGGAAAACGAGAATTACTGGTGCGTCCCATCTGGAATCTTCTGAATGAAACCAGCCTCAGGGGCAATGCTCGATTTTACTTTCTTGCCAGAGTTCAAAAGGGGGCCAGCAGGCGGGAGCAACAGTACAGCAGGGACTTGCCTTGCATGCGGCTGATCGGGTTCGATCCCCGGCACCCCTGAGCCCTCCAGGAATGATCCCTGAGCACAGAGCCAGGAGTAAGCTCCAGCACAGCCACGTGTGCCTCCCCCTCTGCCCCCCAAAAGAATCAAAGGGAGCCAGTGATACTATTCTAGAAGGAAGTGACATATTTATTGACGAGAGGGAGAAATGAAGTCAAGGGGCTGGAGGGTTGGACAGGTTCACCACATGGTTTGCGTGTGGGAGGCCCCAGTTCAATGTCTGACACCATATGGTCCTCTGAGCACCAAACCACGAGTAGTCTCTGAGGGTGCACATGTATGCATGCACACGCGCGCACACACGCACACACACACACACACACACAATCTGAAATCAGAGAGCCAAGGTTTCCTGGTGTGGTCACTCTATGTGCTGGTCCACATGTCCCTGGCTGAGTTACTTCCATTGTCCCTCTCTCTGCCCAGTGCCCTGTAGCTCAGGACGAGCTCTGCAGTTTCAATCCCACAGGACTGAAGTACACCCGGGAAATGAGTGGACATGCTGTGAGACATGTACATGTGTAACTGTAACATCGGCAACTTATATATACAAAGTTACTAGAATTGAGATTATGTGAATTTTTTGGGTTTTTTTTTGTTTTTGTTTTTTGGGTCACACCCAGTGATCCTTAGGGGTTACTCGTGGCTCACGCACTCAGGAATTACTCCTGGCAGTGCTCAGGGAACCATATGAGATGCTGGGAATTGAACCCGGGTCAGCCGTGTGCAAGGCAAATGCCCTACCCACTGTGCCCGCGCTCCAGCCCTGAGATTATATGTATTTTTAAAAAATGACTCTAAAATAGACTCATCTTTCAGGAGTGATTTGGGTTTTTTGTTTGTTTTTTTTAGTTTTTGGGACACACCCAGTGATGCTCAGGGGTGACTCCTTGCTCTGTAATCAGGGATCGCTCTTGGTGGTACTCAGGGGATTATACCTGGGTTGGCCCCATGCAAGGCCAGCACCCTCTCCGCTGTGTTACCATTGCTCCAGGCCCACTCAGGCTACTTCTGATGAAGGGAAATGGGAAGCATCTGAACAATCTACTGACTTGCTAGGCTCTGCCCAAGCGGGCATAAATGGAGGGTCTACAAGCCTCCAGACCGGGTGAAAACACCTCAACTCCCTAACTTTGAAGCAATTTGAATAAAAGCTTTAGATGACGGCGAGTGTGCCAGAGTGAATCAGACGCAGACTAGCTCATTCCAAACCTCTTCCTTGGGGCTATAAATGTAGCTCTGTATGAGGGACAGGTTTGAGCCCCAGCATCCCCTCGAATATGGGTGGGGAGGGAGGGTTTTTTCTAATAGACTTAGATGATTTCTGGAGAGTGATCATTTCAGAACATCTGAAAACATCTGAACAGAAATATCTTGGCAATGGAAAGAGACAAGAGCCAAGACCCTATGGTGGGAAGGAGACACAGGCGAGAACAGACAGCAGGGTTTGGGCCACACTCGCTTATGCTCTGAGCTTCCTCCTGGCTCCGTGATCAGGAACATTCCTGGTTTCTACGGGGACTGACCCAGGGTTGGGATGTGCAAGGCAAGTGCCTTGCCCTGTGCTCTCTCCAGTCCCCTGGCTCGGGAATTCGAAACTCCTGTGCGGTCGCTTCCCTTTACCCGTGCAAAGGTCTGCTCGCCCCATGAGTGGCTCAGCCTGGCTCTGCCCAGCCCAGGCAGCCCACTCCTTACTCCAGGCCACAGGCGCAAAAGCAAGGACTCAACACAGGGTCTCAGCCCGTATTTGTTAAGAATGTTCAGAAGCATATGACTTTAGGCTAGAAAGGGAAGAGATGGGGAGAGTGAAGGGACCTGAGGGACAGTAGGGAGGGTTTCTGACACTGACGTGGAATAGTGCACTAACATTAAAGACCTCAGACACGACTATTAATATTACTGTAAATCAGGATATCTCAGTAAACTTTATGGGTTTTTTAAAAAATGTTTGTTTTTATTTTTTATTAAAAAAGGAAAACTAAAAAAGAAAAATTATCAGTTCCTAAGATACGTGTGAAAATGGTTTTGGTCCATTACTTATTATTATAATTTCTTTATACACAGGCCATATCCAGTGTCCTGGGGCTTGAGGCCATTCCTGGCCAGTGCTTGGGGGACCACAGGGTGCCGGGGATCAAACTTGAGGCCTTGCACATTTGAGAATGTGTCCTGCCACTTGAGCTTCCTCCTGGCCTCGGTTCATTTTAACGGAACCCATTCCTTCCTGCACCCACGAGACCAACACCAGGTCTCGGGACCTTATGGGTGCCGCTCCATGATCCAGTGACTTACTTCCTGGCCCTCGTCCATCTAGTGGAAGAGGCAAGCAGGGGTCAGGTTCAAGGGCCGGGACTTCCCAGTGCTCAACCGGCTGGGTGTGAGCCCCACATGGGAGAGCAGACACCAGAAAATCCCCTGTCACAGTCTTGGGTTTGGAGGGACAGGAGGAAATAAATCAAAGTGTCACCGGGAAACCTTTGGACAATGTATAGGACAATGGTCAGGGACAGCTTCTGGCAACTTCCCCACAAAGTGACGGAAAACACAGTTTCCTGGGAATTCCTTGCCAGCGTCCCAACACTAGGCTTCTAGATGCTTCTCTATTTGATCTCTTTCCTTCTTGGGCGACGTTTTACGAAACCTCTGTGGGCCAAGAACAGGAGCGTCTCCAGCTCCGGCTGCCCCTTCACAGCTGCCGCCAAGAACCAAACGGCAGGAGTGACTATGGGACAGCTCTGAATCCAGCACGGAAGAGCTGCCGGCCGCCAGCCAGTTTCGTGACTTAAGGGGAAAACACGAAACACCGTTGGCTTTTAATTTACCAGTTGGTAGTCTTCAATGCAAAATTCCTGCCCTCTTGGCTTTTGAGGCCTGGTAACCCTATGCATGACTAGTTACTCTGGAGCTGATAAACACACAAGTGAGGCCACGTGGCTGCTGGACGCTGGTCCCCGTGCGCCTGACAGGAGGGCCGGCTGCTCTGTCCAGGGTGCCCAGTCCACCCTGGCTCCCAGCACTTCTCTTTGCCTTGAGACTATGTGCTGGTTTAGGGAGCGTCTCCTGTCTACACAGCGGTAGGCGTGCCACACGAAGAGAGCGATGACACGCTGGGCTGTGATCTTTCTGGACTCAAGAAAAGGCCATGAGACAAGGCTTGGGAAGAGGAGAGTTTCCTTGCCTCAGACGGGGCCTCTGGGAGGCCAAGGCTCACGCGTCTCTCTGAGTCTTGTTGAAGCCCCATCCATAGAAATGCCCAACCCCACACATTCCACGAACAAGGACGGAGGGCAGGGAGACAAAGCAAGACAAAGGATCACATTATGAGCGCCGGGTGGCTCCTGTGAACAGACCAAAAAGCCTCATGGAATTAGGGGCAAGGGGCGGGCGAGAGGAGAGGGCGGGCAGGGGCGGGCGGGGAGGGGGGAGGCGTTGGCATGGGTAGCACCAAAGGACAACCAAGAGCCAGCTTCAGCTTGCCACTGTACCACCAGCTACTGCTACACTCGGAGGCAACATCAATGCCAGCAATGGGGTTAAAGGGAGCAACAGCCCAAGAATAAGCCACCAACAGCTCCGCGGCAACCCCACCGCCAGTGCGTAATCAGCAGCGCGGGCAGCGGAGGGCAAGGGGTTCCTATGGAAACAGCAGCAGGAGCACAGAAACTTCTGGAAAATTAACCCCCAGCTGGGCTGGCAGGGACGGGACTGTCTGGGGAGAAAGTGGGCACGCCCGCAGCTCCAGCTCTGCTGGAGTCAGCCCTGGGACTGGAGGTCCAGGGCTCCCGACCCCCACTGGGTTTGGGATGAAAGGGCGACAGGGCTGCCTGGCCCCCTAAGGAATTGTTTGTTTGTTTTTGTTTTTGATTTTTACACCCAATGAAATGTTTCACACAAAAGCATCAAGGCTGCCTTGGCATGACTGAAGCACAGAGGGGAGGGAGAGGAAGCCGGCAGAGGCGAAGGCCGACGGGAGTAAGGGGAGCGGAACCGTGGCTGCCCACGGCAGAGGTTTTGCTGCTATCACCAACCGCAGGTGGCAAGGGGGGGAACTGCTCCAGAAAATTCCCACCGGATTGCACACTGGCTTGTGAGTCGTGCCAGTGAGGCAGATGGGCGCTTCCCTCTTGGAAGCGGATCAAGAGTCTAAAAACAGATAAAAGGGAGGGGAAAAAAGAAAAAAGAAAAAACCCAAGAGGGTGGAAACCTCCTTTCTCTTCCTCGCCTGTGCCATGCCAAAGGCAGGCAGCTGCCAGTTCTCAGCGAGAGCATAAAGACTCCAAGGGAAACCAGGTGATTAAAGGCTGGTAGCAGGTTCTTTCCAAGAAATTGGATTTTTTTTTTAAATCAAATTTCTTTTTTTTGGTGGGGGAGAGCCACAGCTGGGGGTGCTCAGAGGAGAGTTAGTGGTAAGCAGTGACCCCTGGTGATGCTCTGTTCCATATGAGGCTCAGAGACTGGGTCAGCAGTGTGCCAGGCAAGAGCCTCTCTGGACCGAAACTTAAAATGTCACTTCCTTTTCAAAGAAAGCCAGTGCCGTCCTTCCCGAGTCCCCAGCCTCCAGGGAACTCATGGGGGCCGACTCCTGTGGGCCCAGGAGGTGGCAGGTTCCTCCGAGCCAGGCCGGTGGCATTTTATTCTTGGGCCTTGGGGGAGGAAGGGTAGCCAGGAGAGCGTTTGCACAGCGCACAGTACCGGGAAGTCGCTGACCGCTTGTATGGACCAACGCCGCCGGGCGGAGCGTGGAGACATCTGTGCGAAACGTTACACCCAGAGAAGGGAAGAGAAACACCGAGAAAAAGATTAAAGGGGAGAAACGGAGAACGAAAGGAAAGCTTCCACCGCGTCAGACGGACCAAACGGCAAGGTCACGACGTGGAGTGGCTCAGTGACCACACCGCCCTCTCGACTCCTCTGACTCCAAACACGGCTGCGGGGATGCTGCCAGGCTGGCCGGAGGCCAACGTCCCCGGCTCTGCCATCTGTGATGGGGTGACCCAGAGCAAGCAGCAGGAGACACGAGAGGACAGGAGGATGCTGCTTTTTCCTTTCAGAGGATGAGAGTCCCCTTCCTCAAATGGAAATTCTTAGGAGAAACTGGATACCTTTTTTTTTTAAATTTTAATCACATTCAACTGTGCCTGTAGGTTACTCCCAGATCAGTGCTCAGGGCTAACCCCCAGCAGTGCTCAGGGGAGCATGCAGTGGTGGAAATTGAGCCCAGAGCCTTACACACACAAGGCCCTTACCTACCACTGAACCACACCGCCGGCCCCTCAATATCAAATTTTGGGAAACAAGTGCTTTGCAGGGAGGGCGGGTGTTTTCTGAGTGATGCCACGAAGACAGATCCAGTGGGCCCCATGAGGGAGAGTGGGGGGAAGGCTGTGGTCACTCCTGGGGGCATTCTCCCAGCGCCGGAGCCAAGGGCTGAGTGTAGAAATCGGAAATCACCCACGATCTCTAAGACGCCCCCAGCCCACCCCCCACAAACACTGACATGGGGGCTATCTCAGAGAACATAAACTAAAGAACCCGGAAGGTCACAAACATTATCTTAGTGTTTATAGGACAATGCCTGATGTTTGTCTTAAATTCTGGGCCTTCTGATTGACCTCAGAGTACACAGTCTTTCATCAACTCTTAAGAGCTGGCCCGGGTCCCAAATGAGTATTGCATCTTTTTTGCACTTTCTAACTTCCTATGAAATGTGATGCTGCTTTTTTTTCCCTTAAGGCCACGCATAATCAAAAAAAATTAATTCCCAAGGCACAAACCTCGGAAATCCCTGCCAGAGAACATGTGTGTGACTGGCTGCAGGGACCTCGTGAGGCAGTTACGCACACAAGCACTGTGCTGGGCCCCTTCGTGCCAGGGTCCCGGGACACAACCCCACCCTCATGCCCACACCGGAAGGCAGTTACGCTCTATTTCTTTATTTGCGCTCGTTTTTGGGGTGGGGATCTAAAATAGAATAAAAAAATAAGTGGGACGCTGAAAAACGGTACAGGGGTTAAGGCACTCGCCTTGCACAATCCCCACCCATTTGATATCAAACCACTGGTTTGTTTGATCTCCAGCACCACAAATGGTTCCCTGAGCACCCCCAGGAATAACCCCTGAGCACAGGGCCAGGAATAAGCCCCGAGCTGTGCCCCGCCCCCCCCCAAAAAAAAAGAAGAAAATGGATCTGAGCTGAAATTTAGCAAATGAATCTTTTCCAGAACTAACATCACAAACATGAGATGATGTGATACATGAAACCTGGCGTGTGAGGATTAGAAAATACGCCTCCAGGGATGAACACACTGACACCTCACCTCCGAAGGGAAGGTCAGACAGCCTACGGGAGACCCCAGAGCAGTTTCCTTTCTTGGGTCACACCTGGCAATGCTCAGGGGTTACTCCTGGCTCTGGACTCAGGAATTAGTCCTGATGGTGCTCGGGGGACCCTCTGGGATGCTGGGAATCGAACTCGGGTCGGCCACATGCAAGGCAAACGCCCTCCCCGCTGTGCTATCGCTCCAGCCCCGAGTTTTCTTTCTTTAACCCCCCACCTACCCCCAATGTAAGGAATGGAGTCGAGGGGGCTTCGAGGAGAGACGGCTTCACTTCAGATCCCTCGCACAGTTACTGGCTTGTCCATTTTATCTTATTAGGCTGAATCATACCTTTTCATTTAAGGTCAAAACTGGCCAGATAGCAGCAATTTCTTGGAACTTAACCTAAAAATCATTGATATGTCAGCTTTCTTCAGGGCCTCTGGGGTTCCTGTGATGGTCTATTTCTTGGTCCATGAGACTTGGGAATTCAATGAATTACACATTCAGATATGTGGCATTTCCTGCACAGAGGTTGCACAGCAACAGAAAAATCCTTCTACAACTGTAACACAAAGTGTCCTTCCCTTTTCATCCAGTGACTACATGAAATGCCGTCAGCCGAGGGACTGTCATAGCCCTTTCCTATGGAGTAGGACCCCCGTCTGTAAGACAGATCCCCACCCAAGACGGAGCCTGCGAAGGGCGCGGCCCTCCTCTAGGACCATGCGTCCATCGTAAAGGAAACCAGATCAGCACACACACCAACGCAGTCCTTACAAGTGGTTCTGCCTTGGGTGAAGTCCCGTCTTAGGGCCAGGAGTGGCCTGCAGACACCACCAGAAGCCCGGCCAGCCCATCTCAGCCCCATTCCGATCAGCACCGGCCTGAACCAGGGCAGACTCCCCAGCTGGGCCCCTATGCTGAAGACAACCCCCGCCTTTACCAAACCGTGAGTTTGTTGGGCTGTTAGGCCAGCGAAATGCCTTCATTCTAGCCAGTCACCTGTCACCAACTTACAGGAAGAGAATGAGAGGGGGAGAGGGAGGGAGAGAGGGAGGGTGAGAAGGAAGGAGAGAGAGAGAGAGAGAGAGAGAGAGAGAGAGAGAGAGAGAGAGAGAGAGAGCACATGCCCTAAAAATTCTGAATGTAAAGACTGAGGAGGCTAGAAATGTTCCAAGGTCTGACAGTTGGGTAGCAGCAGAACCCACCATTGCGCAGGACTCCAGGGAGGGACCTGAGACAACTGGTCACCGTCCTTGTTCTAATGAATGGCTGTGCCCAAGGCTGGTCCCACGTGCAGGCCCACTGCTTCTGTCTAACTACTTAATGACCCTCAGACCAGGCTGAGCCCGAGATGCCCAATGATGGCGTAAACTGGCAGAGTCAAAGCCTGCTGCTACTGCACCCCAACTCCAGGGTCCGCTAACACGTGCTATGGTGGAGCTGGGGTTTTATTTATTTATTTATTTTGCCTTTTGAGTCACACCCGGAGATGCACAGAGGTTACTCCTGGTTCTGCACTCAGAAATTACCCCTGGTGGTGATCAGGGGACCATATGAAATGCTGGGAATAGAACCCGGGTCGGCCATGTGCAAGGCAAACGCCCTACCCACTGTGCTATTGCTCCAGCCCCTGAGTTTTTTTTTTAATTTAAAAATAAATTTAAAAAATTTAATGATAGTGAAGACACCGTTTCTCGTTCAACAGGAGACAACAACAAGGAATTGCTATAAGTTCATGCATTGTTCGGTAAACTACTACTTAAATTATGACAGCGACTACAAGCTGGCATGCCAGACTTGATCCAATACCACAGGAAAAAGTTGATCACTCCTAACCTCCATCAGCTTTCCCCAGGCTGTCACCACCAATGGCATCTGATGACTTAAGAGCCACCTTAGGGACAAAGAATTAGTTAAAACCAGAACATAAAGCCAAGTTCAGGTGAGTTCTACACAAGCTCGTCCATCTGGTGGGTACTAGGTGTGGACTCAATAAAAGTATAAACCTTTTGGAGGCCACTTTAAGAAGTCCCAAACATACAAAGATCCCACACCTTCTGAAGCCCCTGGAATATGGTGACAAATCCCCCAGAACAAAGGAAGACAGAGGCTGCATGGTTCTACCTGAGAGGATGGGGGTCGGGGATGAAGGGGATTCACTTCCCCCACTGTCCCTACCCGCTTACAGATGGGGGAAGTGGGCACTGTGGGGGGCAGGGGACGCTGGAGACAGAAGCCCTGCCATGAACAGTATGTGAATCACGGTGCCACAAATGAAAAAGGGTTTTGCAGGGCATGAAGATTCATAAGGGCTGATCCTCCCATGCACACGCAACTGACTGTCGCTAAAACCAAGTGAACAGAACAGGCCAATTTTGACCGTCAGAGACCTAAAGGGGTTGCTGGCTCACTGGGGGGCGAGAACAGGAAGGCGGGGGGGGGGGCGCCCACTTACCCGCTCCTTGTAGTAGAAGGAGCTGACGGAGACCTGCTCCTTCTCGCTGCGGGTGGGGCTGCCGCTGTACAGGCGCAGGTTCCCGGGGGCCTCCGTGCGGATCTTCATGGGCGCGATCAAGCCAGTGTGATAGGCAGACAAGGCCGAGAGGGACCTGGGGTGGGAAACACACAATTATCTGCACTGGGGTCCCTCGGTCCACCCTTGTAAGTGGTGCCACGCTGGGCGCTTGATAAGACACTGAGAGGAGGAAACGGAGGACAAACGGGTAAAATATGTGGACGGGGTCCAGGTGAAGCCGCTCTGTCCGGGGGACACGAATGGCTGGAGCTCTTTTCTGATACACACTGACATAATGTCCTAAGACTAAAGATGTGCTGGTGATGGAGAGTGGATTATTAGTATCGTGGAACCCTATGTCATGTTATCTTCCTAGTTTTAGTTAATGTTCAGATAATGCCTTAGTGACAGGAGCACTTTAATTTTTTGAGCACGTTAAAAAATAAATAAATAAAATAAAAGACCACCTTGTCCTGACGAGACCATGTCATTCCTTCCAGGGTTCAGTCAGAACCACACAATAGAATCCAAGGGGCCTTAGTTGATCTTTCATCATTAGAATAAGTTCTGGGTTTTTTGTTTTTTTGCTTTCTCAGTCACATTGGGCAGTGCTCAGGGGATACTTCAGGCTTGGCACTCAGTGATCACGCCTGGCGGTGCTTGGGGACCATATGGAATGCCAGGGATCAAACCCGGGTTGGCTGTGTGTAAGGGAAACACCTTCCCGCTGGACTATCCCGCCGGCCCCCCACTAGAATGAATCTTACAATGGATGTTGATGTTGACCAAAGAATGAAAACAACACATCTAAAGTGGAGTTCCGGGCTCCCTGCCAGATGCCACACCTCGCTGGGCACATGAACACGTTCTTCATACTCACCTTGGAGTAGGCTCCGTCGGAGACACTGCTCGGTGCATTGTCATGGGCCTTGTGAAGTATACCAGGGACCCTGAGAGGACACAGCAAGGCTGACATCAGTCCCTGAGTCGGGAAACGCTGTGAGCAGCACTGATAGTCTTTCATTTCTCTTGAGATTCCAAAGGACGAGACGTATCTGCATAGGAGCGGAGACCTAACCCTCCAGCGCCCCAGAGAGACAGTGACGGGGGCAGTCTGGCCCTCTAGTCCCCCGAGAGGAACCTGTCCCTGTGGAGAACTGGAACTCTGGGGCGGTTGCTACTATGGGCTCTGTGATAGCAGGAATCAAGTCCAGAGCCTCCTACCTAAGGATCTCACCAGAAGATCAGCTAAGACTGTCAGTGTAGTATGCATTCTTGGGAGATGCTCACGGATGCTAATTTGTCATCAGGTCTAATGACATTACCACAGAGATCCTCTGAGTACTCGGGAAATAAAACCCTAGATACATTTATGAATAGAGATTTTTCTATAGAATATATAAAATCTCTCGCCAACTCTCCGCCATGACACTCCCACAGAAGCAGAGAAGCCAAAGGAACCAACCTGCCCCACAGAACCGAGCCCCAGATGTCCTTGGAAAGGGGATGTTGGCGTCCTGGTAAGACCCATAGGCGGTGGTGACCCGGGCGAAGGTCGGTAAGGGTGGGGTGACGGAGTTGGGGAGCGCGAAGGGGTTGCTGGAAGCACTGTCTTCTTGGTTCTGGAATTTAAGCATCAGCACACTCAACGCCACCGTCTCAAGCTCAAAGAAAGCAAATTCCGCCTTCTTAATGGAAAGTCGAATCACAGAACTGGGGGACATGATGACGGTGTCAGGGCACCCAGGACTCGGGGTGAGAAAAATAACGTCCCCCCCACCCACCCCAGCCTGTACGGGCACAGGAAGCCCACCACAAAGGACTCCAGGCAGGAGACCAGCTGGCGCAGGCAGGGCTCCAGGCAGCTCTGGTTCCGCTTCACCTTCTGCAGGGACGTGTCCTTCAGGATCTGGAAGGAAACGGCACAAGCAGTCAGGACGGGCCACCGTTGACCCTACCCAACATGGGCAGCCGGGAGCACCCGGGGACGGAGCCCACTGCAGCTCCCGACACCCTGAGCCACCTCCCCCTCTGGGGGTGCTCGGGAACAGCCGGCTTCTGGAAGTGCCATGTGCCAGGCGAACCACGCTGGACAGGGCCCTCACGAAGTGACAGAATGAAGGCACCTCTGTCCACTTCCCTGCCCTGCCCACCCCAGAAGGATCATCTGCTGGGTGGGGGGGTACCACTCAGGTCCTGGGGACACACTTTTCCTTTAGTGAAAATCACAATCTCCAATCTCTCTCTCTCTCTCTCTCTCTCTCTCTCTCTCTCTCCCCTCCTTCATTCTTTCATTTCCTCCTTCCCCCCTTCTCTCTCTCTCTGCCTCCATCCCTCCCTCCCCCAGTTCTTTTTCTGGTCCTTTCAATGAACCCTAAGCAAGGCTGTAAAGCTCAGTCAGTGTCAGCCAGCCCAGGACAGGCAGCTGAGAGGGTGAGGGGTGGGGGTGGGGGACTGAGCTGTCCAGCATGGCAGTCTCTGGCCCGCAGGGAGACGGAGCAAGGCCAGTGTGGGAGAGGGCAGTTTGCACCACAGGCCCACCCGACAAAAAGAACACAAGGTAGCTGGGTGAGGGCTGCCCTGATTACATACTGATGTGTAATACTTTGGATACACTAGCCTGAATTAAGAGACTATGGAGTTAGCTGCTACCTTTAGGGTATCTGTGTGTGTGTGTGTGTGATTACTGGAAAGTTTTAAATTTTGTCCTGAAACAAGCATCCGCAGACCGTGGCCTGTGTTGTTCGTCTTGAACCACACGGATTCAGACCTGGGAGAATTCCTACTCCTCCTTCAATGCCAGTGGAACTACTGACCCTTTTTTCCATCTCTACACATACACAGAAATCTTCAGATTCCAAACACAAAAGGTTCAACAGCCCCAAACGAGAGTGACTGCATGGCAATTGCTCCCACTGAACAATGGTTTCGGTCTCAGGGTCACCCCTGACAGATGTACCGCGACCCAGGGGGGGCGACACGAACAAGGCCGGGTGAACAGACGCCGGCCACTGGGCTGAGGCCAGCACTTGCCCGTCCCTCACAGGCAACAGGGCTCAGGGGAACACGGTGGATCCCGTCAGCTCTCAGTCATGCATGGTGGCTTCGGCCATATCACACTCTGTGTGAGCAGGTGACGCATGAATGTAAGCCTGGAGGGGTCCAGAGCAGATGCCCGGCTGTGGCCGCTCTACGAAAGCCCGGTGGGGACCCTCGCACTGGCCTGTCCCGGACAGCAGTGGATCCTCGCACTGGCCTGTCCTTGGTGGGGACACATTTCCTGTGACCTATTTCCTGACTTTCTGTAAAACAGCCTTAGACCACCTCCTGTCCACTGTTTGGGTAAGAACACAAAGGCACAAACACCGGGTTCGGGGTATGACAGGACAGCTGGAGTCAGACCCGAGAGCAGGCTGGGGACGCCTGGGGACTGCACCGTGTTTATTTACACGCAGTGTACCTGAAGCCACGTGCAACTCGCCATCAATTTTCAGCAAGGCACCTGTGGTTTCCATGAGACTTCCGAAGTGGAGGCCAGCGGGCATGACCCAAAATAAGCAGAGAACCACTTTTCTTATGTTTTCCCGAGAAAATCAATGGGGACTACAGGCCCCACAGAGCCAAAGGGCAGCTAACTTCCAACCTCCACACAGTTTCCTTCAACTTCCCACTCGGCTCCACACACCCCACCAACGCAGGCCCGAGCCCCACCTTCAGCAGCTTGGCTTTCATGGTGGCCGTGATGGTGGTGGGGTTGATGAACTGGAAGGACGGGGCAGCGTTGTTCGGGTACTGCGCAGGGAACCTCACCAGCATCTTCACGCGATGGTTGCTGCAGTGCACGGACACTGTGCAGCTCCTGTCGGCAGCGGCCATCTGCAAGGGGCAGGGGGACAGGCACCCTGCAGCGAGATGCACGGGCCTCTCCCGGGGGACGGGCGGCCACGAAGGGCTGCAGGGCCTGGTCACCAGGAGGAAAAGAGTCTCCAGACGCAAATGGGTTGGGAAGGGCTGGAGCACGGACTTTCAAAACAGATTGCTAATAGTGCTTTTAGGAGGTATTTTCACTTCAGAAAGCTTCGTTCCAAAGCTCCAAAGAAGGCTGAAATATGCTGTTTACTTTGCGATTAGAAAAAAAAGCAGGAAGCTGGCCGGAGAGGTAGCTCAGTGGGTAGGGCACTTGCCTACCCAGCAGACAGGGGTCCATCCACAGATCCCTGTGTGGTCCCTTGAGCCCCACCAGGAGTGATCCTAGAGCACAGAGCCAAGAGTATGCTCTGCGCAGAGATCAGGCCCCCTCCACTGCCACCCTGGTCCCTGCACAGTGACCCCGCCCCCTGCACAGGGCCTGCCCCTTCACGGTGACCCCGCCCCCTACAAGGACCCCACCCCTTCATGATGATCCCGCCCCCTCCAATAGGCCCTGCCCCTGCATGGTGACCACACCCCCTCCGCTGTCACCCCACCCACCTGCACATTGACATTGCGGATCTGCACGTTGATGAGCGAGAACTCCTGCTGCAGAGTCTGCGACAGGCCGGCCTGGTCACTTTTCTTCTCCTCTAGGAGGCTGCTTGGGGGGTCTTCCTTCAAGGCTAGCAGGAGATTCAGGGGTGGGGAAACGCTTCTGAAGAGGAGCCAGAGCGAGAGCGGTTGGGGAAGGTGTGGGCCCGGCGCGTTACTAACCTTCCTCCTCCCCGTGGCCCGAGCTGTGCTGCTGGTCGGGGTCTGGGGCCTGCAGGGGCTTCTCGGGCTCCGGCAGCAGGGACATGCTCTCGATGAAGTCCTCCACGCTGTCCAGGATGTCGTTGGCGCAGAGCTGCCACAAAGCCAGAGTGAGACCCAGCGGCATCGGCGCTTGGAAAGATCATGCCACGCTCGATTCTATTCATTTATAAATTTGGCTTTGGGGTCACACCTGGCAGTGCGGGGGAATGCAGCGGGGGGAGGTACTAGTTGGGAGTCGCTCCCAGGAATGCTCAGGGGACTACAAGCTGCCAAAAATCAAACCGTGACCTCCAGCAAGCAAAGCATGTATCCTCGGAGGGACCTGCCACACCCTGGAATTCTGGCTTTAAAACAGGGATCACAACGCAGAGGCATATGTCATCCCAGGACAGACACGGTCAAGAGGTTTCATTCCTCACAGCTCTTCCTCGTTTGACAGGCGGCACCAGATTGTGCTGTTCTACCCTGGACATTTTCACCCCATTTAGAGAATAGCAAGTCAAAAAAACTACCACTGAACATCTCAGACCTTCATGGAACTATTCTTGCTTATGACAAAGATACTGTAATTACAACGCATTTGGAACAAATGGTGCCTTTTTGGAGAAAACAGATTTAAAAGTGAAGTAGCGCTTGATCCCGATGATGAAACCGGCTAAACGCTCAAAGTGACAGCATGCCACGGAGAAGTATGAACTGAAGCCAGAGTTTTCTATGCACTTTGGACAGAGTTGTTTTGGGAGACAATAGAAGCGAGACAAGATTTGGGCCTTCCAGGAACACAGCTAGAATGAGGAGAAAGGAGACCCAGAGGGGCAGGGCAAAGCAAGGGCCCCCTACTGCTGGCCACCGCTGCCCACACCCCTGGCTTCAAAGGCTTCTCCGTCCTTGAACAAAGCAAAGATGCCGGCAGGCTCCGCATAATGCCCACACTCCCTTGTACCAAGATGGGAGAAAAAACACACCAGAGGCTCTTGGTGTTAAAATGCTGAAACACCAGGGCTGGAGAGAGAGTCCAGCAGGTCCACTTGGAGAACCAGGAGCAAGCCAGGGGCAGCCCCAATAAATAAAACAAAAAGAAACAAGCAAAAATGCTGGATGAAATGATTATATGGGGGTAAGGTGCTTGCCTGCCTTGCACATGGCCAGCTGGGGTCAGTCCCCAGCACCTCACTAGGTCCCCCATCACTGCCAGAGGTCCACCTGAGCAGGGCCAAGAACAGGTCCCAAGTCCCAAAAATCTCCCTCACCAAACACATTTTAAATAAAGCATTTTAAATAAAGCACTGAGCTGGAGTCTCAGCGGGCTGCACGGAGCTGGAGAGTGGGTGAAAGGGGTGTGACACACGGCCGGCCGTGTGGCCTCGGACTCCCACAGCCCTCGCCCATTGGCCGTCCTCCCCTGCACACATACCCTCTGCATCTGCGAGTCCACGCGCCACATTCGCAAGCTCTGGTCCCGGGACCATGTGACCAGCTGATAGTCCTTGGAGCCTAGACACCGCCAAGTAAAAAAACCAGGACAAATGTTTAGCTCCAACGTCAGTTTTGCTACAGGTCCCGGGGGAATGAAGTTCATTCACTCAAATACAGCTCATGACAGTTCCTGGATGCTGGGCACCATCTGGGGCATTGAGACTGAACGTCCCATGACCACCGCTGTCTCGACGCAACTCCTCCTTGCTGAGGTTGGGAAGAGACAGGCCAGTGTCTAGTGGTAAGTGTTAAAAGGACCCAGCATAGCAGACAGCGACCGGCAGGAGCCCCATTTGCACAGAAACGCACCTGACTCAGGCTCCTGCATCGGTTGAATGGCAAGGGCCCGATGCCAGAAACCCCAGGGCTTCCCAGCCCTTGCCATACCCCAAGATAAATCTACCAGCCTCTCAAGCAGCGTATTCTCTGAACTGTGAGGGAGGGCAGGAGTCGGGGGGTCGGGGGGAAGAGCAGCCGCCTGTGCCTGTCCCTCAGCAGGGAAAGCAGAGGCCAAGGAGCCCCTGCCCGCCCTGCGCCTTTTCTCCCGCTCACCTTCCTTCTGCTTCCGCCACTGGAACTCCAGCACCACGTCATCGTGCCCGACGAACGTGTGGACCGGGGTGTTGAGGTCAAAGACGTTCCACAGGAGGAGGCTGTTTTCTCTCCGCAGCTGGGGGACCATCACCGTCACCAGCCCGTTGCTGAAGGGCTACAGTGAAGGACACAGCCGGTGGGTGAGTCCGGGGAGACGCCACCCCACGCCTTCAGGCAGCCTTTCCCCACGGAAACAAACCCAGGTGATGGGAGGCCCTCAGTGGTCTGGGGTCACCGCTAGCCTGGGCTCCATCCCTGGCACCCCATACCCCAAAGCACAGAGCCAGGAGTACGCCCTAAGCACCACCAGCTGTGGCCCCTAAATCCTAAATAAGCGGGACCAAGACATGTACTTGAAGAACATTTGAAATTTTGAAGTCGGAAAGGGTGCCCGCACTGACGCTCGCTGAGACACCCCCAGGAGTCCCGAAGACAGTGCCCAAGTGTCTTTCCCCACAGAGCAGGCGAGGCTGGGAGCACCAGGTGGGACAGAGGTCTGCCAGAAACAGACACCACCCCCAGGAAGCCTTCCTCTTGTCCCAGCAGCTGTTCTCACCCTTACACCCCAACTCCTGAGCTCAGGGCACTCCTCCACACTCAATGTACAGGCAGCTTGGGGGTGACCCTCATTGCACCCTGTTACTTGAGAGAGACTGAATCCGGGAGCACTGGTCCCTCCACCTCATGGCCCAGCGCCTCTCCTAGATGGCTCTATTCATTTTAATTTATGTGGGGGGGAGCTTTTTTGGGTTACAACCAGCAATGCATAGGGGTTACTCCTGGTTTTGCACTCAGAAATTACTCCTGCCGGTGCTCAGGGAACCATATGGGATGCTGGGGATCATACCTGGGTCAACCGCGTGCAAGGCAAACGCCCTACCCGCTGTACTATGGCTCCAGCCCCAAGCTCTGTTCATTTTTAAAGCGGACACATGAAACATGAGGAGGATTTCAACTCACAAGCACATCTGGTCTCTTGACAAGGGCTCCCAGACACAGAACCACTGAATACTCAACTTATCGCCAAGGCTTCCCAATGCTCTGGGGGCTGAGTCAGCGCACCAGCCCTCTCAGTCACCCCTGTGCCACCCTTTCAAAGTGACATCAGCAGGAATCAACTTTCCCGAATCAACACGTGGCCAAGGGAGGACTGGTGGGACATTCACAGCCATCTGCGTGCTCCCTGCACCCTGCACCTGGAGCAGCTTACAATTGATAAAGCGTTTTTTTTTTTGGGGGGGGGTCACACCCAGCGATGCAGAGGGGTTACTCCTGGCTCTGCACTCAGGAATTACTCCTGGCGGTGCTCAGGGAACCATATGGGATGCTGGGAATCAAACCCGGGTAAGCCGCATGCAAGGCAAACGTCCTACCCCCTGTGCTACTGCTCCAGCCACGATAAAGCGTTTTCATATGCAATTTTTCAAAAGAAAGCAAGTTGTGCATGTACAAAATTTCACAAAACTGCACACCTTCATCTGGGGAGCTGACTGAGTTTTCCGGAGTGTGCAGCTGCATTTGTGGCGATGCGACATCTCCGGAACCTACACAAATAATCTCCACCAAGAAAAGCATTAACATGCAGAAGGCTGAATTTACGGCAACCGCTTAATGAACCCCCAGACAAGGACTTAATGTCCCCATGGTGAGAGATGATTTGCACAAATTTTCTTTTACTGAAGTATTTTTTTTTATCATTCCATTTATTTTATATTGCTTTATATGGCCATTTAGTGGTAACAAGCAATATAAAATAAATGACTGTGGGCCTGCTATGGAGGCAGGCTTGAAGGGTGGCTGGGAAAATGGAGACAGTGGTGGGGGGAAGGTGACGGGTGGTGGGATTGGGCTGGAACTCTGCCTGTAATAAATCATCAGGAACAACTTTGCAAACCACAGTGTTTAAAGTGGGAAAATAAAATAAAACGAAATGGTGAACTGAGAGTCAGGATGTAGGGCATGCACACAACAGACTGGGTTTGGTCCCCAAAACCACATGATCCCTGTGTACCACAACTCCCGAGCACAGAGCTAGGAGTAGCCCTGAGTACAGCCAGGTGTGCCCACCCAATACCGCACTCCACAATCCCCCCCAAAAAACTCACAAATGGTGTATTTATGCAATTAAAAAAATAATAGGAGGGGCTAGAGCAATAGTACAGCGGGTAGGACGTTTGCCCTGCACGCGGCGGACCCAGGTTCAATTCCCAGCATCCCATATGGTCCCCTGAGCACCCCCAGGAGTAATTCCTGAGTGCAGAGCCAGAAGTAACCCCTGTGCATCGCTGGGTGTGACCCAAAAAGCAAAAAATAATAATAATAATAATAGGAAGAATTATTATATTCCACAAAGAAACTTGTTCAAAAACATTCAGGGCATTGCCCCAACACCACACAAGCGTTAAACACTGCAACGGGAGTCACAATCAGCAAGACACGGAAACAACCAGTGTCCAGTAACAAACGCGGGAAGAAGACGTGGCTGATCCACACGACAGAATCCACTCAGACAGGAGGAGGCAGGCGGACGCCCTGCCGTGACACAGCAAGAGGGTCGGCGGCATTATGCTGCCTGGGCCACTTAAGCAGAATCTCAAAAAGTCAACTCAGAAACGGATTAGAGTGATGTTTGCTCACGGCAGTGGGGGGCTGCAGGTGGCGGGAGGAGGAAAAGGAAAAGTGGATCAGAGATCACAGACTCCCAGCTGGAAAACAGTCACTCCTGGGGATGTGATGTATTTTACACGGGGATTACAGCTAATGAGATTGTTCCACATCCCGAAAGCCACTGACAGATCTGAAATGCTCTCGCCACGTTAAGAGTGTGTCTGAGGACAGTGTCACCTGATGCTGCAGTGGGAATCGTGCCGGAAGTGGGTCTCTCAGGATAAGGGAAGCTAAGCACTACTTCATATGCCTACCGGCCACCACTTGTCTTCCTCTAAGAAACGTCACCAAACTTTGAAATGAGCCTATCAAGATGACAGGAGGGGGTTGGGGGGGAGGCATGGGGGAGCCTGAGAACCCTAGTGAAGGGAAGTTGACACTGGTGGTGGGATTGGTGTTGGAATGTTGCGTGCCTAAGTCTCATCTATCAATGCCTTTGTACATCCTAGCTCTTCAATAAATATTTTTTAAAAAAATAAGTAGGGGGGTGGAGAGACAGAACAACAGGTAGGGCGTCTGCCTTACACGCGGCCGACCTGCGTTCGATTCCCAGCAATCCCATATGGCCCCCTGAGCACCGCCAAGAGTAACTCCTGAGTGCAGAGCCAGGAGCAACCCCTGTGCATCACCGGGTGTGACCCAAAAAGCACAAAAAATAAAAATAAAAAATAAAAAAATAAGTGGATCAGGCTGCAGCGATAGTACAGAGGGTAGGGCGTTTGCCTTGCACACGGCAGACCCGGGTTCAATCCCCAGCATCCCATATGGTCCCCCCTAGCACCGCCAGGAGAGATTCCTGAGTGCAGAGCTAGGAGTAACCTCTAAGCATTGCTGGATGTGACCCAAAAAGAAAAAAAAAATGTGGATCCTTTCAACCATGCACACACTAGGTGAGTCATGGTATGTCAGATCTCTCTCCATAGTCAGTGGGCACATGACATGTCCCCAAGAAAATGTCAATGACATCACTGGGCCCCAAACCCAGGTCTTCCGAACCCAAAGTCAGACTTCCTTCCCTTCAGTGCAGTCACCACTACCTGCCTTGGACTCATTAGTGACCGCCCCCATATGTCCACTTCCCAACTGAGCCCTAAAACGGGCTAACACCTTTTTCATATGAATTACATAATATACAATTAATATCTAACACTTCTGTCCATCCCTTACCTGAACAGAGGGACAAAATCACCTTACAAAGAAGAGATGCCATCCCTTGGCCCCCTGATGCGGCCCCCTGCCCAGGTCAGCCTGTCTTACTCACTGTGTATCTGGCCTTCCACACGGGCACCTGGCAAGGCAGGATGTTGAGGTATTTCCGGGGCTGGCGGTAATCCCAGAACTGGAAGGAAGCAAGCAGGATCGCTGTGAGATGAATGTCACCCACAACACTCCGCCACTGGGCCCAGCACAGCTGCGAGCCTGAAGCTCTCCATCCCCAAAGGGACACCCCAACCCAGCATGACAGTCCAGTCCAGCTGCACACCACAGCAGAGAACCCCCTCTTCCGCTGGCAACGGTCATGGGGAGAATGGCAGGATTTAGGGCAGGAAGCGAGGAGTCTGACGGGGACCTCCAGCCTCTTCCCATGGAGGGTAACTGAACTGGCCACAACTGCACTGGCGTGTCCCAATGATTTAAACCACCTCAGAGGCTCAGAGATCTGGTGTTTCTGTTTTTAAAATCTCTCTGAATTTCTACAACCACCACCTACTCTACAGGCCAATCTCTTTCAAATGCAGAAGCAAAACTGCAAGCGGACCCCGACAATCCTTCATCCCCCAGAGTGGAGGTGTGGGACATGCGGGCGGGAATGTCAGTGGCCTTAGAGCTGCCGGGACTTTTCTGGTTTTGTTTGCTTGTTTTTATGGGGCATACGCAGTGACGCTTGGGGGGACCGTGTGGTGCTGAGCCAGCTCTCCGGCATAACTGGCAACACCTTTAATGGAGTATCTGTCCCAAAAGTAAGAAACAGCAGAGCAGGGGCAGGAGCAGTAGTACAGTGGGGAGGGCGTTTTGCACTTGGGCAACCCCAGTTCAATCTCCGGCATCCCATATGGTCCCCCGAGCACCATCATTCCTGACTGCAGAGTCAGGAGAAATCCCTGAGTGTTGCCAGGTGTGGCCCCAAAAGGACAACAAAAAGACAAAAATGAACCAAAAAAAAATTTTTTTTAAAAAGGTGTTTTAAAAATCATGAGGAATGGGGCTGCAGAGACAGTAGAACAGGTAAGGCGTATGCCTTGCACACAGCTGACCTGGGTTCAATCCCAGCAACCCATATGGCCCCCGAACCCTGCCAGAAGTGATCCCTGAGTGTAGAGCCAGGAGTGAGCCCTGAGCATCGCTGGTGTGTCACTCCTGCACTCCTCAACAACAACAACAAAAGATGTGAGACCAAGTAGTGGTTTCCATTTTTCTAGCTAATTTATTTTTGCTTTTTTGGCCACACCCAGCGATGCACAGAGGTTACTCCAGGCTTTGAACTCAGGAATCACTCCTGGCAGTGCTCGGGAGACCATAAGGGATGCTGGGAACCGAACCCGGGTTGGCTGCGCCCAAGACAAACACCCTACCCGCTGTACTTAAGCTCCAGCCCCAGTAGCAGTTTCTAGAAGGATTTCACAGGAGCAAAGAACTGGCCTCCAGAAATGGAATGATACAATTGCACATCCCCGACACTCTGACCCCAAGTCAGTGCTATTTCAATTAAGACAGAGAGATAAATCCACAATCCAAGGGAAGAACTGCAGAACCTGCAGCCGAGCAGTCCTTGTGCGGCTCTGGACTCAGGCCTGTGAAGGCGCCCAGGCGGCCCAGCCCAGAGCAGGAGGCACCTCAGGAAGACAGCAAAGGAGCAAGCCAGCCCCACGGAAGGCGAGTCAGGCACACAGGAGGCAATCGCCAGGAACTGGCTGCCTCAAGGCCCCTGGAAAGACATCTCCAACATGCAAAGCGGGGTGGCATAGTCCCCCACCCAGAGATAAGCCGGGTGACTCCCCGAGTCTTCAGGAATGAAGGCTAAGGTTCAAAAACCCAAAGAGCAGGGCAAGGGCGATGGTACAGCAAGTAGGGTGTTTGCCTTGCACGTGGTCAACCCAGGTTCCATCCCCGGCATCCCACATGATCCCCCCAGCACCACCAGGAGTAATTCCTGAGTGTGGAGCCAGAGTAATCCCTGAGCATCACTGGGTATGACCCAAAAGGCAAAAGAAAAAAAAAATAAAGAAAGATAAACTCAGGGCTGAAACTCAGGGTTCAGCGGCTAAAAGTGTGAGTCCCGCAAGTGAGGTCATGGGTTTGATCCCAGGCGCCTCCCTGATGTCCTCAGCATGGCCTCAGTGGCTCTGTCAGGGGGCGCCTCATACCCCAACAAAGTGTGGGATCGTCAGGTGAGTGTGAACACTGAGACTAAAGACGTGAGCACAGCCACCAGGTGAGCAAGCCCCAGGGCCACTACCAGAGAAAGTACACAAAGAGCACAGCTGAATGATGGTGACCCCCGAGCTCTTTGCAGTGCCTTGTGAGCACCACCTCCTCACCAGGGGGCTCAGTCACCACGACAGCAACACTGGGAAGGGAAAGGAAAGGGAGAAAGGGAAACCACAGCGTCGAGCTGAGAGCCGATGAACGACAACACCAGAGGCAGGATCTGGGCAGTTTCCATGTAGGGGCGGGAGCGTTTTCTCAAACCTGGTTTATGGGGCCAGGGAGACAGCTCAAAGGCTGAAGCACGAGCTTTGCACGAGGGAGCCTGGTCCAATCCTCAGTACCACATGGTCCCCCCAGTGTCGGATAACACTGGTTTGTCCTTGCCCCTCCCACAAGGAGCTTAAGTTTATTGAGTTGCACCCGGGACAGGTTCCCAGGCACACCCAATCCCATCAGGCACTCCTAATCCTTTATTGCTTTACTCTTTCCTTTATGTCCCTGGCATAGTTTACTAACCCTCAGTGTTTCTCTTTTCCCCCTGCTATACTGTTCCTCTCTTTCCTTTTCGTTCTTCGCATAGTTCTTTTTAGAGCAATGTCCTTTTTTATAGACACAAGAAAACAGTTAATGCTCTACTTTTGTAACATGGGAGTTACCTGATTCTCAATAATATTTGCTCTTGGACATCCGTCATATTTACTTGGCTTAAGCCTCAGTTGCCCTTACTTCCTAACACCCCCCAAAAGAGGAACTTGGATGGACCCAGGGAAAGCCATAACCTACCTGCCATCAAGGAGGGACAGGCTATGCACCATAAGAAGTATAATAAATTAAGAGCATGGCCATGGAATAAATTCTCTCATGACCCATGGGCTGGAGCAATAGCACAGCGGGTAGGGCGTTTGTCTTGCATGTGGCCGACCAAGGTTTGATTCCTCCGTCCCTCTTGGAGAGCCTGGCAAACTACTGAGAGTATCCTGCCTGCACGGTGGAGCCTGGTGTATTCGTATCCCTGTGGCATATTCGATATGCCAAGAACAGTAACAATAAGTCTCAGAATGGAGACGTTACTGGTGCCCGCTCAAGCAAATCAATGAACAACGGGAGGACAGTGTTTTACAGTGTTATGACCCCAAAAGAAGTTACTGAATAAGGACCCTGCTGGAGTTAGGAAAGACTAATCTGGCCTGAGGACTGTAGTCTGGGATATATAGCAAGATGTCCCCAGGAAAAGTCAACCTTCGAGCTTAATATATCTTTTACTGTGTTCATACAAAATGACTAGAACTACTAGTAGAAGTAAATTTAATATGATTGTTTAAGTGGATTACTAGCTGAGGAAAGGAGAAAGCAATATGTCCATAGATGTTATCCCGCCCTTGAGCGGATCTCCTAGTAATCTAGAATGCTGAACCCCCAGATGAGACTTTGTCCTTGAAATTAATCTCCTAGGAGAACTTTCCCTGAAGGAAGGGCTTTACATCTGTTTATTGTTATGATAATGTTCAGCCACACCTATGTGTACAATTTCTATATAACTTACTATATAACTTATTTCTGGGCTGGAGCGATAGCACAGCGGTAGGGCATTTGCCTTGCATGCAGCCAACATGGTCGACCCGAGTTCGATTCCTCCGCCCCTCTCGGAGAGCCCGGCAAGCTACCGAGAGTATCTCACCCGCACGACAGAGCTTGGCAAGCTACCCGTGATATATTCGATATGCCAAACACAGTAACAAGTGTCACAATGGAGACGTTACTGGGCCCGCTCGAGCAAATCGATGAACAACAGGAGGACCGACCGACTGACCCCTATAACTTATTTCTATATAACTTACTTTATTCAAGCTGTGAGGCTTGAATAAAGGGTCACTGATTACCAAACAGCCTGTTGCCCCACTCTTTCATCACTGTCAGCCGGCTGGAGGAATGTTGGTTCGGTTCTTGGTCACCAAACGCACCCATGCTTGAACTCACACCCAAGTATGCCAGAGTAGCCCCTGAGCATCACTGGATGCGGATGGCCAAGCAAGTTCAAGACTGAGAGATGGAATATAATTTACATATGCACAGCCTTGTCTCTTCTACTTTATTATCTGTTAAAATATTGGAAAGATTTATAACAACCTTTGACGATGCTGGTCTACACCGCCCTCCAGCAGGTACCTCCCCAGACCCTTTTTATTTTATTAACAACAGACTTCTGAGTCTAGGTCAGGCCAGTTTTCAGCTGTAAAACAGTACTGGGGCTAACCTGCTTTGAATCCCTGATACGGCACAAGATCACGAGCAACACCAGGGGTCACTCTTGGGCACACAGCCAGGAACATCCTTGAGCACACCAGGTGTGTTCCACCCGCAAAAGTCACTCCACTACAGGACGGGGTTCCTTACACAGACAGTGTATTCTTGATTTTTTTTTTTAGCGCTTTTTATAATGCTCTCAACTTAGGATAAGTCCTTAAAAAATAAATGGGGGTTGGAGAGATAGCACAGGGTAGGCAGCCTGCCGTGCACGGCTGGCCCAGGTCCAATCCTCAGCTTCCCTAAGGCCCCCTGCGCACCACCAGGAGCAACTCCTGAGGGCAGAGACAGGAGGAAGCCTGGAGAATAGCCCAGGGTGGCCCAAAACCAAAAACCAAAACTAACTAATCCTAATGATTACTGTTATTTTATTTTTACTCCAAGTCAAATACATATCAGAATGCTTCATCTTTGGACTTATGATTTATACTTACCTATGTTTCTTTTGTTGACCGGTTTTTTTTGGGGGGGGGCGTCTAAAATCAGGTCTCAAATTCAAAATAATAAAATTCTGGAGTTGCAGAGAGAGCACAGCAGGCTGAGGGGGCATGCCTGTTGTGCGGGAGGCCCGAGTTCAATCCCTGCCACCCCATGGCCTCCTCAGCACCTCCATGAGTTATCCTGCCCCCAAACACAACCTAGGAAGCATCTGGAGTCCCACCACAGGAAAACAAAACAAAATCCTACGGTCAAATGAGAAACCAAAACCATAAAATCATTCAGTCGTCCTTCCTATCTAAACTCTACTCGGGTATCTCAGATGGCCGGAGAATAAACTATAATTTATTCCCTCCATGTCCTTAAAAAGAAAAGAAAGAAAACTAGAAATAATTAGGTATGCTTAGCATTCCCCAGATTTTTAATTAGCTCAACATTTTGTGAATTCCTCCCTGTTATCAAGTCCACCATATGTGCAAAACTAGCAAATAAACAGAAGTCCGACTTCAGTTAATTATAGACATGCTACTAATATGAATGCATCTCGGTAATTGTTTACTTTCAGGCTGAAAGAAGCAGAGTCATGTTCATTTACAAAGAGTGACATGATAACCGTTAATAAAATTAAGCCTGTAAGACAAGATTTTGCTGCTCGATTTAAATGTGCTCATCCGCTAGTGACAGTAACATCTGATCTTGAGGCTCCCAGAGAGGCCCTGCAGGCCTGACGTTGCCCCCGCCTCCGCATCTCCAGGGGCCGGAACTCAGAGACTCAGGAAACGACGCCTGTACCCCTGAAGAGGGACATCCCTGTTTCTCCCGTGACATCCTGCTGTGGTGTGGACAAATGAAGCCAGCGCTCAGCTCGCGCCCTTCCCCAGAGATGGTTATGGGAGTAAGCGAACCAGAGCCATGCTAGCCTTCCACACGGGCACCCTAAACACTGCTCAGGAACCCCCAGGGCTTCCAGAGACGTCTGGGCAGGGGCCCGGTGCAGCCCGACAGCCCTGACTAACTGCTGATGTCACAGGATCACAGGATTCTTAGGCAGGCTGACCCTGACCCACACACAAACCTGTCTGCAGGTACCAGGAGATCATGCCTGGATTTCCAGAACTCCCAAGTCAAGAGGAAGATGGTTTTAAAAAATAGATTATTTAACCCAAGATCAGAGGAAAATTAGGGGGCTGAGTGATGAGCTCAGCAGGAAGGTCACTTGCCTTGCATGCAGTCAACCTAGGTTCAATCCCCAGTACCTCATATGGTCCCCCAAGCCCACCAGGAGGAACTCCTAAGTGCAAAGCCAGGAATAAGGATTGAGCCTCTCTGGGTGTGGCCCCCATAAAAAAGGATCAGAAGGAAAAAGCAAACATCTAAAGTGATAAAAATGAATCAGACGGTACCTAATGGCTTTTTTTTTCAGGTTTGCTATTTGTTTTGAGGGGTGTAAGGGATCAAATCCATAGCCTGACACACGCAAGGCACAGGCTCTGTGGATGAGTCACATCTCTTTTCTATCGCTCTGTTTTGGAGCCGTGCTAGGGGCTGGTATTGCAGCTCACAATAAGAGCACTTGCCTTGCATGTGTGAGTCCCTAAATTCAATCCCTGGCACCATTAAAAAAAATAGAAGAAAGAAAAGGATCGTGTAGGAGGAAAATGACATAGATTGATCCTGAGCAGTAAGTTACTAAAAACAATGCCTGGTAATTATGCAAAGTGGCTCTAACCTGCTTTACTTTATGATTATGACACTGTAGCACTGTAGCACTGTAGCACTGTCCTCCCGTTGTTCATCAATTTGCTCGAGCAGGCACCAGTAATATCTCACAACAAACTGAGACTTGTTGTTACTGTTTTTGGCATATCAAAGATATCAAGGGTAGTTTGCCAGGCTCTGCCGTGCGGGCAAGATACTCTCGGTAGCTTGCCGGGCTCTCTGAGAGGGGCGGAGGAATTAAACACTGGCAAATGCGCTAGCCACTGTGCTATCGCTCTTAAATTATTTATACTCTGTCTCTCTCTCTGTCTCTGTCTCTGTCTCTGTCTCTCTCTCTCTCTCTCTCTCTCTCTCTCACACACACACACACACACACACAATTTTCCTATCAGGATAGAGTAAACTAAACCCAATATCATAGCAAAACTTTCAATTAGCTCGGAAACTAAGCCCGCATGCTGGGTACAAGGTCTGCATTTTCCATGTGGAAACACGCCTGCTGTCTACGTGATTATCCAGGAGGCATTATCGAAGTTCATAACAACGTCTTTTGCCTTGCACGCAGTCAGCCAGGGTACGATCCCTGGAATCCCATCTAGTGCCCTGAGCACCACCAGGAGTGATTCCGAAGTGCAGAACCAGGAGTGATTCGGAAGTGCAGAACCAGGAGTGATTCCTGAGCACAGCTGGGTGTGGCCCAAAATTTTTTTAAAAAAGAAAAGAAAATCTCTAACACAACAATTCTACTGATAAAAAAAGGTCCTAAATCACTTTTGCAGATAAATGAGAAGCATGTGAGAAAGTGGCTGTCTTCTACCTCAAACTGTACACTGAGTCATCTTAGCAATTTCGTGGACTTTTCCTCTTTGACCTACCAGTGGGGTTTTTACTCTGACCAGCTAGTCCTTCTGAAATCTGATTTCCTAGCAACCTCTTTGCAAGAGAACTCTTTTTGGTTGGTTTTTTGTGTCACAGCCTGAGGTGTTCAGGGGGGGCCACTCCCTGGCTATGCTCAGGGACTACATGTTGCTGGGACCATTCAAATGCCTCCAACATGCACTCAGCCCACTCACACGAGAACTGTTCTCTTCCCTGACTTCACGCCACCAAGGGGAAGAAGAAAACCTCTTGTGTGGGGCCACATCAGGAACACACCTCACTCCTGCTGGTCACCACATTAGCAGGGCCGTGGCCGGCGTCCCTGAGCACACAGGCCCCTGAGCATTCCTCCCGGGAAAGAGCTGGACCTGTCTGCAGCCCCGCCCACTCACCTTGACAGAGTTGTCCTGGCTGGAGGTTGCCAGGATGTGCTCGCTGTCTGGGTGCCAGTCCAGGCCATGGATCTTGGAGAGGTGGGCGGCGAGGTACTCTACGGCCGTGCTGGGTTTCTGCAACAGAGATGGGTTTAGAGTGCAAAGCCTGAGTCTGCCACCCACAGTGGCCTACCAGGTGCCGGGAAGGCACATAATCACTCCCAAAACCATCTCCGTCCCCAACACCCTGATCTGCTTGGCAGCACACAGAGCAACAGTTCCCGCTCGGTGCATGGTCTGGGAAGCGAATTAGCTCGGCCCAAACTCAGGGCCCAGCTTGGCTAAGGCAGGCGAGAGAGAATGGTGGCCTCTTTCCCAGCAGCCCGCAGCAGCAGTGTTGTGGCAGCCCCGAAAGGAGCCTGGCCAGGAGTCCTCTGCCTATGTTCCCACACAAGGACCATGGGACGACAGAGCTTATCGCAAAACCCCCAAACCGTTCATGTCATCGATGGCTCTGACAGCCATCCACAGCCAATACGTTTGCAGGACAAATTAACCAAATGCTTCAATACTTCTTCAAAACCTTTTTTTTTTCTTTTTGGTTTTGGTTTCTTTGGGCCGCACCATGCTCAAGGCTTATCCTGGCTTTGCACTCAGGAGTAACTCCTGCCGGTGCACAGGGATGTTATCATCAACTCAGATACAAGGATGGGGTCGCTTCCAGATGAGACGTAAGACCAGAAGACAGAAGCATCTGTCCCAGATTCAGGGCTACGGAGCCAGGCCCTGGACCCGACCCCACAGCGCCCAGTCCACCCGGGCGGGCTGCGGGGCTCCAGCCCCGGGTCTCACACCCAACTCCTTGGCACACAGTCTCTGAGCCTCAGCCCAGGGCCCGGCATGAGGCCCCGGGAAGGCCCTTTCCCTGGCTTCTCACCGATGCCCATGTGACAAGGCCACAGCACTATCCACCAAGGAGACAAGCCCCTCTCCCACCCCCATGCCCCATTGGCAGGGCTGCTGTGGGTGCCCAAGTGGCCCAGGGGTCGACCAGACTCTAGAGGGTGCGAGTCCTTCGCCACCTGGGCCCCCTCGGGAGCGTGGACCCAGGGTAAGGACCTGTTCCCCAACAGTCATCACACTGGCTCCAGTCAGGCAAGAAGCCTGCGGAAGGCTCTAGAACAGAGTCTGAGCCCACAGGCCTGACGCTCTCGCTGACACGCTATCTCTATTTTGATGGTCTGGGCTACGGGTGCTGAAGAGTTGTGTCATATGGTACAGTCAGACAGCAGGACAAGGGCGCTGACTGTGAGTCCAGCACACTGTTTCCCACGCCTGACAGAAATCTACGCCGCTGGCTTTCCTTCCAACCCGAACTCTTGCAGGACCCTGATGTCACCTGGTCCGGCTGTCTGGAAGCGCCAGTTCCCTAGGCCTCTCAAGGCGAGGACTGCCATGACGCTTCCAGTCCATCATAAATCGGGGAGAAGACAAGGTCACTCACCCGCTTGTCCCAAATGCGCACGTCACCGTCATGACTGGTGGCCAGGCAATTGGCGTTTTTTTTATTCCACTTGACCTGGGAGGCGCCCGCTGCAGAGAGAAAGCAGGGAAAGGTGCTGCTGGGTGCACTGTGGCCCTCAGGGTATCAGATCCCGAGCTCCGTGGAGGACTGAGGTTGACACAGAACTGAAGGCCCGAGAGAACCAGCACCCGAAACGTGATGAGCCACTGAGGAAATCATCTCACTTGGGGGGGGGGGAAAGTCGGCCAGTCACCCCCAGGCAGCCAGCGAGGAAATGCGGCTTCTGACTGAGCAGGTCAATGTGGCACTGTGGGCTGGGCCGGCCTCATGACGCGACCCGGGTCTCCAGCATCGCCAAGAACCACACCCTGGAAGGGGCAGGCTCCAGGGGCCAGAGCCAGGACCAAAGCTCGGCGAAATCCAGCACTGCCCAGCACTGAGCTCAGAGAGTCCAGGTACCCTGCCGTGGGGGCCATGGGCGGGCCTGGCCCCCATACTGAGTTGGGATGGAGAAAACTTCCCCATGCTGCCACAAGGAGGGGACAGCAGTGACAACTGGGCAGGAAGGGGCGCTCAGGACAGGGATGTGGAGAGCTGACACCTGACCACACTTCCAAGTGACCCTTCAGACTAACTCAGCCAGAGCCGGGGACACGCCCCAGCAGTCAGGGCACTGGCCTCGGTATTCCACCGGCTGTGACGGGACATGGGCTGTCACGGGAGGGAGAGGGTGCGAGGGACTGGGTGCGAGGGACCGGGTGGAGGCAAGCAGGGAGACGCACTGGCTTACCTACGGCGGACAGGGCGACGGAAGGTTTCCTGGTGTCTCTGCAACAACACAGCCGGAAGTCAAAGGCGCTCCTGTACCCCACCCCACCTCGCTGCCTCTGCTGTCAACGGGGAAGGACGGGGAAGGCGGATCCAAGACAGACTGCTCAGATACTTGCCTTGCACGGGGCTGACACTAATTTCACCCCCAGAACAACGTGGTTCCCCGAGGAGGGCCAGACCTGAGTCCTAAGCACAGAGCCAGGAATGGCCCCCTGCCCAATGGGTGTGACCCAAGATCCAAAACAGAGAAGCAGCAGCATTAACAGAAGCCTGCCCCTGCCAGGGCCTGAGCCATGTTGGACCTTCACATGAGAGCACTGTGTTCACAGAGATGAGCGTGGCCCAGCGTGCTCACAGTCACCCTGACAGGGAGCCCAAAGACTCCCACTGGGTCCAGGGACTGAGCTCCCAGGGCTGCACACATGCAGGAGGTGTGGGTTCATCCCCAGCACCTCATGGTACCCCCCCAGCCCCAAGCACCGAGCAAGGAGCAGCCCCTTTGCAATGCTGACTGTGCCCACCTTCAAGCCCCCTACAAAAAGAGACCCTTCGACAAGGGAGGAGCCGGTCCTGCTCCTTCCCCTCGCCCCAATGGGGCTCTGAGATGACACCCACGAAATGCCACCCAGCTACTTATTAAGCTCCTAAACGACCATGATCCAGAGACACACAAACAAATCTCAGAACCGAGCAGCTCGCTGCAGAGATCTCTCCAGACTGGGATTATTAAAATTTTAGAATTCTAGAAATGCGTGGCCATGCAACATTGTATGCTATCCAATACAAGCAATACGAAACAAATTCTCCAGCATTGCCTTTTTGGCGGGTTTGAGTGGTGGTGGGAAAATTCCAAGTAACAAGGGTAAGACTGGTGTCGAAACATTGAATGTAATCAAAGAAGAGAGAGAATATTGTGGAAATTGCCTGCCACACAGGCAGGGGAAGGGTTGGGATTGGGCGGGGAGGATACAGGGGATTTTGGTGGTAGAAAATGTGCACTGGTGAAGGGATGGATGTTTGATCATTGTCTGATCAAAACTCAAATATGAAAGCTTTGCAACTGTATCTCACGATGATTCAATTAAATAAATAAAAATAAAGAAGTGCATATACCTTGAAAAAAAAAAAGAGTCCCTTCTGGTGTCATTTCTCTGAGGGGCTAGGAGGGACAGCCCGGGGAAAGTAATTCTGCAGGAACCCTCCCAGCAGCATTTCCAATGTGACATGCAAACTGCCCAGGATGTTTCACGGCAGTTAGGACGGGGATGTAACCTTGGCGTCCACGACTGACGGCCAAGGTCAGTACTAGAATCAGCCCCCAGGGGAAAGCCCTCCAGGGAAAAGTCAGGCAGAGGGAGAGGGACAGACAGAAGGAGCCCTCTCAGATGGGGGACACAAGGGAATGCAGGGAAGGAAGAACACGTGGGCAAAGGCAACGGAACTCAAGAACTGGGGGACGCGGCCCCTCTGTGCTCTGAGAAGAGGATCCCCCACCCCCGCTCTCAGAACCCTTTCACAGAAAGGAAATGGGGAGGGAAGGAAATAGGAAACGGGAAAGGAATGGGGTGTGGGGGGAACGGGGCCCTGCAATCTCCCGAGCAGCTGACAACTCCAGCCAACAAGTCCCCCTTCCCCACGGCCCGTGCCCGCCCTTGCTGCTGGTGCCCGGCAGGCCCGAGCGGGCAATCACAGCCAGCGACACCTTCAGCCAGTGGCCAACAGTGGACAGCACCAGTGCAGTAGTGCGACCCATCGAGGAGCCGCCAGGGACCCAGCTGAGAGGAAGTGCCATGGCTCCGAATGAATGCAGCGGGGCCTGCCCAAGCCCCTCACCACCCCCTGCCAGCATCTTTCCTCCTTGCAGGGTCTGTGTCCATGGAAACCAAACTAAGGCCCTGGGGGGAGGAGGAGCTTGGGCCATACCCAGTGGTGCTCAGGGCTACTCCTAGCTCTGTGCTCGGGGTCAATCCCAGAGGTGCTCAGGGCTACTCCTAGCTCTGTGCTCAGAGTCAATCCCAGTGATGCTTGGGGCTACTCTCAGCTCTGTGCTCAGGGTCAATCCCAATGGTGCTCAGAGTCTACTCTGCTCTACTCAAGGGACCGTGTAAGACCAGGATCAAACCAGAGTCGGCTACTTGCAAGGCAAGTGCCTTAACCCCGGTACTCTCTCTCAAGCCCCCAACTAAGACATCTGAGCCCTGAAAGGAAGGTGCCACATGCCTCCCCCTCTACCAAGGGGCGATGCCGCTTATCTGTTCTTACTTGATATCCCAAATGTAGATGTAGGTGTCCACGGAGCTGGTGACCAGGAGATCAGGCTCAAACACTGCCCAGTCCAGGTCGCTGGGAACACAAGAGCACACAGAACTGAAGAGGGAGACTCCAAGATCCAGCTCCAAAGCCCACAAAAATTTCATCTCTAGTGGCTTCAGAAAGTTCCTCCAGGAGGGCGGGAATCTGTCGAGTCCAGAGAAGGGTCAGGCCCTTCCCCGAATCATCGCCAGCTCTATGGTCACTTGATCCCCCCCAAAAAACAGCTCTTTCTCTGTCTGTCTGTCTGTCTTATAAGCAAAGCAAAGGAAAAATACAGGAAGTGTGACCCTGGAGCACATCTGCCTCCTGTTTCCCACCTCACCCCCCAACAAGGGCCCGGTTGCGTCATCATGTGGCCCCCAGACACCCCACTGGCACCGTTACTCCCCACCCAAGCAGTGAGGCCCAGGCCAGCTCGCCCCGCCCTGCTGCTACTTCCCAGGGTAGAAACGGAGACCCAGAGAGAGGGTGCACAAAGGAGCAATCCATTCGCCAAGAGGAAGCCCCTGCAGCGGGGGGTTCTTGGGGTGCAGGAGCTCAAGCCGCCAGATAGTGCCAGAGAATCATCCCAGAAGCTGAGGGTCTGCAACACGCTTCCTGTCCCTTCTTCCAGACAGGACTTGCCCTTGGTTGCTTCCTCCACCTCAGGGGACGCTGGGGACCTAGCAGCCCCCAGCTAGGGGCTGAGGCAAATGAGAGAAAGGAGAGGGCGTCTTTATCTCGCTCCCCGAGGGCATGACCAGGTGAGCCGGGCTGGGTGTACCTGATGACACGAGTGTGGCCCTGGAGGCTGGTGCCCACCTCCCCGCTGCCGTCCTTCCACTTATACAGGTCCACCCGCTGGTTACTCTGGAGAGACACAAAGAGGCAAGAAAGGGGCGGGTGGGACAGCAGGACAGAAGCTCTCTGGCCCCTCCTGTCGCCTGCAGGCTGGAAGGGGAAGCACCATAGAAATGGACAGCGAAGACCTTGCAGGTCGCATGTCCTTCAGAAGTCACCACAAGTCTGTCCCGTGACCCTCAGCTGGGACCGGGACCCAGAGGTTCGACATGCACAGGCAGTGCAGGTTTCCAGCAGACCGGATGGCCCGCGAGTGTGGACCTTGGCCCCAGTCAGAGCTCACCCACCCTCTCTCAAAGGCCTGGAGCCCACCTGCCATGCAGAGGCCTGAGGAAGAAACAGAACCCCCAGCAAAAGGTGGGCCGGGAAGGATTCAAGAATCCTTGAAACCAGCCTCGACTCAATACCTAAGAGACTGAGGAGGAAAGACGAAGGAGAAATGGAATAGAAGAAACCGCCGCTATCATAGGAGAAAGGAAGAAAATCAAGTTCAAGCAGACCTACGTTTCACTTAAAGTGGACAGACAATTAACGGCTCTCAAAATTGTGAGTTAAGAAAACCATGTGGGGGCTGGAGCAATAGCACAGCAGGTAGGGCGTTTGCCTTGCAAACGGCCCACCCGGGTTCGATTTCCAGCATCCCATATGGTCCCCTGAGCACCACCAGGAGTAATTCCTGAGTGCAGAGCCAGGAGTAACCTCTGTGCATCGCCGGTGTGACCCAAAAAGCAAAAAAAAAAAAAATTAAAAATTAAATAAAATAAGAAAATCATATAAGTAAATAAATCATGTTAGTAAACAGACAGGGGTCATTCCAACCTATTTTCCCTTAAAATGACTAACAAGCAAAAGCTCCCTAAATACCACAAGTTTATAAAACAGTGAAAGTGAATAAAGAAAACTAATAGACTGGAGCCCTTCAATAACCTCTGAACTGACACTTAGACAAGAGGCTCATTTCTGTATTTTAGCCCGGACAGAGAGACGTACAAAATTCGGGGAGTTTCACCCAGAAACGTCTGTATCCAACTCTACACAGGTACAGTTCCCATGCAAGGGGTAGGATTCTGACCATGTTCCACAGTGGGGACAGGAGCAGATGGGAAACCGCCCTCATTGCCCAGCCGCTCCCCGCCAGAAGCCTGCCTCTCCTGTCCCCTGGCGCCCAGGGCACTGGGGCCTACCTGAACACAGAGAGGTTGGAGCACAGGCCTTACATGCCGGAGGCCTGAGTGCCGTCCCTGGTACATGATCTCCTGAGCACTGCGGGTGCTGAGCAACCCCCAAGTCAGGAACACCCCCAGCATGGCCAAGTGTGGCCCAAAACACAGAGACACAAGCAGAGCCAACACGTACCTAGAAAGGGGCTCAGCGTCACTAGCTCTTCGGGAATCGCAAAGCCAGAGCCACAGTGAGATTCTACCTAAGTTGGCTCTAATAAAAAATAGTACAAACAAAACCCAGGAAAGAGCCGGCACTGCCGAATGCCTGGAGAAATCAGACCTTCACACGCTGCCGGTGAACCGCAGCCACCGTGGGCCAGTTTATGTGACCGTTCACCTCAGCCAGTGAGGCTCCCGCAGGGGCCGGACAGGGCTGGGGTCTGGAGCACATACTCTGCAAGCAGGAACTCCGGCTCCAAGCCCCAGCGCTGCAGGGGGCCCCAGGCAGCCCCCCAAGCAACACCCAAGGACTGCTGACTGCAACCGGAAGCAGCTCAAACCCACGCACTGGAGAAACGGGCCAGTGCTCAGGCACCTGCCTGGCAAGCAAGCAGATGGTCAGGAGTTCAACTCCCCCTCGACCCCCATGTGCCGAGTGATGCGGGCAGCCCCAAACACAAACGAGGCGCCGTAATGTGTCAGTGGTGCCACCTCCTGGACCCGTGAGCAAGGGCTAAGGACAAAGGGGGCCTCCAGAAATGAGCCAGCAAAAAGGGCCACCGCCCTAATGCCCAGGAAAGAGTGGGAGAAGGGGGAAGCCACCGCTGCCTCCCCTCCTCTTTCAGAGCGCTCAGCGCCCCCAACCACTCAGCTCAGACCTCAGTGTCTGAAGTCAGATTCGATTTTAAAAATCACCGGAAAGTCACCTTCGGGTCCTTCAAAAGCTGACAGCCTGCCCAATTTTGTCCTGGAGAAGGTCCTTTCAAAACTGCTCTTCAGGGAGTGCCACACGTGGTCCCCGGGGCCCCGCCAGGAGCGATGCCTGAGGGCAGAGCCAAGAAGAAGCCCCGAGCAGTCGGGTATAAGGCCCCCAAAACCCTGACGCTAGAAGGTTCCCTCTAGTCCTCTCCTTCTGTTCAGGGCAAGAAGAGCCATCTGCTTAGGAGTCTGCGTGTTCTCGGAGAACAGGAGGCTGGTCGAGAGACTAAAGGCAATGTAGCCCAGTCATAAAGCCTCTGGAAAACCTACTAACACCTTTCTCTTGGAAAAGTCCACACCTGAATAGAGGTTCAGGAGTTTAGGCTCTGGAAGGTTAAATCACCTTTCCCACAGTACCCCAGTACTGCCACATGCACTGAGGTGAATATGACAACCCCACGGGTCCGGGATCCCTGGAAAGGGCAAAAAATAATTTCTGGGGGCTGGAGCAATAGCACAGCAGGTAGGGCGTTTGCCTTGCACACAGCCAACCTGGGTTCGATCCCCAGCATCCCATATGGTCCCCTGAGCACCGCCAGGAGTAATTCCTGAGTACTGAGCCAGGAGTAACCCCTGTCATCGCCGGGTGTGACCCAAAAAGAAAAAGAAATAATAATTTCTGGGGCCAACAAAATGGCTCAAGAGGTTAAAGCATAAACTCTGATCCCTTGCACTGCAAGGTATGGCCCCAAAACTGAAAAAAAAAAAAAGAACATTTCTGGAGGTTATTAATCTACTTCCACTCAAGAGACTACTGCACTTTGAGCAGGAGGGATAGAGCTCAGCATAGAATACTTGCCTTGCATGCAAGAGATTCTGAGTTCAATCCCCAGGCCCTGAGCATTGCCCAGTGTGGCCCAAAGGGCACCTCTCACAAAAATTCTGAATTAAAATAAATAAATGAAAGCATCTCTGAACCCTCTGAATCTTAGGCAAAAACCAACCGCGGGGCAGCTGGGCTATCCCTCCTCGGGCCTATCTGTCCAGCCTCAACGGCCACTTTGCCTTGGACGGCTCCCATCACTTCCCATTCAGACTCTGCGGCCACTTCCTCAAAACAGATGGTCTGACGCCGCTGAGACCAGCAAGTCTCCTCACACGTAACACATGTGTATTTTGTTCATCTGTTTACTTTGGGTTTGGGGCCACACCTGACGGTGCCGGGGAGCTGTCCCTTGCTCCGTGCTCAGGGGAACCAAGCCTGAGCCTCCTGCATGCAGAGCGGAACAGCTGCACACAGCCCCCGGCGCTATCGTGCCAGTCCCATATCTATTGTTAGTTTTGTTTGGGGGCCACACTCAGCAGTGCTCAGGGTTTACTCCTGGTTCTGTACTTAGGAATTACTCCTGGGCACCATATGTAGTGCCAGGGATCAAGCAGGGGGTTGGCCGTATGCCAAGGTAAGTGTTCTAACACCCGGTACGATCTCTCTGGCCTATTATCTTTATGTGTCATTTTCCTCTTTTCCACGTGAGAAATGAGTACTATGCTCTTCTTGGCGTAAGACATATATCTGTCAGTCCAACCACACGTCAAACATTAAACGCTTTTTCCTCTCTTACACCTGATGCATCATGAGCCATAAGAATACCATTACTCAGGGTTTAGCATACACCCACCACCGCACCTCACCCGCCACCAGGGGGCCCACCCCGGCCCCGGGTCCCCGCTTCCTGAGCTCCTTAAATAAACTCACAGAAGCTGCAAAGTAGTGTGCAAAGCTGTCGTGAGGATTCCACTGCACGGCGCCAATGTCCCACTTGCTCTGGCGAGAGATCTTCCGGTGACCTTCAAAAGGGGCATCGAGATTAACGATGTAGAGGAATCTGCGGCTAGGAGAACAAGATTACAAGGCGATAACAGCATTAGCACTGGACAGGAGGGCAGTTAGCAAACGCCGCTCCCAAACTCCCCAGGAATACATCACCCATTGATGAGCTCTGCAAGCGCACCAGGGCAGCAGGCCTATCCCGAGAGCGCCCCCTGCAGGGCGATCTTCCCAACCACACCCAGGGAGGTTCACCAGTCCCAGCAGGTGCAGCTCAGCCTGGCCCACCCCACCTTTTCCCATCTGAGTTGTTGGCCCCCGAGAGGACCTGTCCCATCCTCTACAGAGCGACCTACAAGGCCCGCAATCCTGATTCATAGCACAACTCGCATTCACAACGCCCCCGGAGAGGGCTGAGGACTGCAGTGGGGGCCAGTCTACGGCATGTCGGGGGTCTGGGGGACAATGGTCTCAGTGGTGCTGGAAGCCACCAAGGCTACATCCAGTTGTGCCAGGAGGCCACTCAGTGCAGGGGATTCAAACCCAGGGCCCTAGCATGCCAGGCTGCGCTACAGCCCTTTCTGTTCTCTTCAGCCTTTGGCCACCTTTGATGTTCCACATGCTAGGCAGGGCGCATTAGATTAAAAAATGTGCAAAATTAAGGATATTATTTATCCCTTTATCAAATACTGTGTAGTCGCAAACTTAATTGGGTCTCCGACCCCCTTTTCAGAGAGAAAACCACTCATTAACCCCCTAGAAATTCTACAGTCTTTAAGGAAACAAACATGAAGCGTCCAGCCTCTAATTGCACCCCGGGCTTCTACTCCTCGCTACACACAAACTCTGGTTTGGTCCAGTGGCCCTGGAGGGGGGAGTAATGCCCACTTTGGGAAACTCTTCAGGCAATCTCTAATTTCCCAGCAAGCCAATTGAGAGGAACAAAATTAAATCTAACCTTAAAATAGTTCAACAGTAATTAAAATAACATAGTGCCAATGATGTTCAGGGGCCCATCAGAATCAGGATCTGAGAGCAAGGACATCCTGAGTTCACCCACTTGACTTTTGGGTCTTTTTTGTTTGGGGAGGGGCCACACCCAGTGATGCTCAGGGGTTACTCCTGGTTCTACACTTAGGAATCACTCCTGACAGTGCTCGGGGGGACCATATGGGATGCCGGCGCTCAAATCCAGGTTTCCACGTGCAGGGCAAGTGCCCTCCCCTCTATACTATCGTTCAACCCTTGACTTCCGTTTAAAGTGGAAAATCCCAGGTGTTGAGCCGACATCTCAGCAGCCGCCAGCTGTCAGGTCTCAGTTGTCAGGGCTCTGAGAGCAGGATACCCCTGAAGACCCCGGGCTCCACAATGAAGACCCCGCTGATGCCTCTGTCATTCCATGGAAGACACAGGAGGGGTGGCTCAGAGGAGGAGACACTGTAAAGGACTGATGCTGGAACAATGTATGCCTGAAACTCAATCCTAAATATTTTCTGTAACTGCAATTCACAGTGATTCTATTGAAAAAAAAAACACTACAATAAAATAAGGAAATAAATAAAAAATAGCCTGGCTTATGAATGAAAATATTAATATGAACATGCGGCTGTCTTCAAGGTGCTAGGAATCCAGTGTAATATGGAAAGGAAGAGGCTCTGACCACTATACTCTATTGTATTTGTGCGATGTCAGGGTTATTAATAAATTCAGGGGTGAGCCTTAATTGCCAGGACCATAAATTTTTTGCGTCAGAAAGCACTACAGAAACTCTCTAACTCAGTTTCATCGGGATGAAATCTAATTCATTCATGATACCAGAAATCCAGGGAGACCACAGGAATAAACGGATCGTAAGTAGTGGAGCTGTCAAAGGAGGACCTGGACCCCTCGATCCTCACAAGCCCTGGCAGAGAGCTGCGGCAGCACCTGTGAGAGCCTGGGTACAGAAAACTGTCAGGACAAGGCCAAGGACTGTGCGGAGACTGAAACAAACTGCAGGCAAAGCCTACAGGAACCCTGACCTGATGGGGCCATCAGGATTGCTGAGTCTGGGGACGGGAGAGAGAGTACAGAAAAGTGTTTGCCCTGCATGCGGTCGATCTGGGTTCAGTCCCTGGCATCTCATCTGAACCACACGGAGCACTGCCTTGAGCGATTCCTGAGTGCAGAGTCAGGAGTAACCCCTAAGCATGTGGCCCTAAGACAAAACAAGAAACAAAATCGCTGAGCTTAATCCTTAAATTTGAGAGTCCTTTCTGATATTCCCATCAGTGTTTTCTTCCTTTCCTTCCATCCTTTAAAAAAAAATTTTGGTGGGGGGCACTTTTGGGCCACACGGGCAGTACTCAGGGGTTTTTCCTGGCTTTACTCAGGAATTATTCCTGGCAGGGCCTGAGGGACTACCTGGGGTGCCAGGAATCGATCCCGGGTGAGCCAGGTGCAAGATGTACCCGCTGTACTATCGCTCCGGCCACCTTCTTCTCTCCCACCTTTGCTCCTGACCCCACCCCACCCCACCCCCACCACCCTCCTCTGGCTGGGAACTGAACCCAGGCCCTCACACATGTGAAGCAGCACCCCACCCATCCCCAGCCTCCCAGAAACCCACGCCCACCAACCGTGCAAGCTCACTTACCCGGAAAGCACTGCGTGCTGCCCGAGACAGTCCACGGACATGGCGGTCGCCTGCAGGGGGAACACAGAGTGAGTTGGGCCAGGGCAGCCACTCCGGCCGGAGGGGACTAGCAACCACCCCCGGCCAGCAGGGCAGTGGCAAGGGATTAGCCCTCAACACTGAACCACAACACTGAGTCTCTTCTGGTCACACGTGAATCCCTCAATTCACCTTCTGCGACGGGGTAGCTGCTACCTGCCTGGAGGGGAGCCCCCGCCCCCAACACCAGGACCACAGCCACACAAGCCAGCCTTGTCTGCCTCAACTAAGCACAGGAGGTTCTGGAGCCCCTGGGGAATGTGACAAACAAGGCCACTAAAAACCCCTTCCGAGAACTGCCCAGCCCAAGCCACTGTGCGCACGCGTACACGCAGACCCAGGACATTGCGGTCACAGCGGGCCCCTCCGAGTCCAAGGTCATGCTCTTGTCTCTGAGATGCTCGCTGACAGTCAATCTGAAATTGCTACCAGGCGGAACTGGTTTCCATTCCCTGGGCTACCCAGTTCCCGGGGGGCTCCAATGTCCAGTTCCCAAGAGTTCCCCCCCCAAATCACAGAGGTGTGCACTCAGATACAGGAGGTAGTAATTAGACCAGAGACATCTCTCGGGCCAAAGTCGCGCCCTGCTGTGGTCTCGGGACATGACCAGACACCGCATGTGCCACTGTTGTATTATCAGAGGCTCTTTCCCAAGGATTCTCATTCTGCACCTTCTGCTTCCCCGCCCCCCCCCCACCACAAATAATAAAGAAATTCTCTCCCCCACCTCGGGCTCGTTTTACTAACACTCAGAGTAACTCAGAGTAACTCAGAGTAACCCTTAAGTGCAAGAACCAGGAGTAGCATCTCACACGCATCAGTCTTCAGAGACATGCCCCTAAGGAAGGAATGCTGAGAGACGCCAGAACGGTTCACCGAGAGCAGGAAAGTGATCATCACGCATCCTTCATTCCACCGGAGTCGTGAACAGAGAAAAACCCAGCTGGAAGAGCAGGCAGCAAACTGAGATGCTATTTCCAGAGCTCTCTTATGCAATTTACAGATTAATGGGATGAAAGCGGCAAGACGGCACCCCCCCACCAGGTGGAGGACTGTCTTTCTGGAGGGTGTGCTGTGACAGAATCCTAATATGGCCCCCAATCCTGAACCCCCAGTGCACACACTTTCTCTCCATCACTCGAACACCAAGAGGTGCCATGAGGAGGCTGTGAAGGCAAGAGTAAGCACACCTGATGACCTTTCACTACCGGCATCGCAAACCATAAGGCCCAAGAGATAGCAGGAAAGAAAACAAGAGAGAAAGAGAGAGAAGGAGAGAGGAGAGAGAAGGAAAGAGAGAAAGAGAGAGGAGAGAGAAGAAAAGTGCCTGCCATACTGGCAGGCAGGGGGCGGGGAACTAGGACCATTGATGGTAGGAAAAGTGCACAGTGAAGGGACGGGTGCTGGCACATTAAATGACTGAAATCCAATCATGAACAGCTTTGTAAATGTGCATATCACTGATTCGATTTAAAAAATAAATGGATAGGGGGCTGGAGTGATAGCACAGCAGGTAGGGCGTTTGCCTTGCACACGGCCCGACTCGGGTTCGATTCCCAGCATCCCATATGGTTCCCCCAAGCACGGCCAGGAGTAACCCCTGAGTGCAAGAACCAGGAATAACCCCTGTATATCGCTGGGTGTGACCCAAAAAGCAAAAATAAATAAATAAATGGATGGGGCGGGAGCAATAGCACAGCAGGTAGGGCGTTTGCCTTGCACGTGGCCGACCCGGGTTCGATTCCCAGCATCCCATATGGTCCCCTGAGCACCGCCAGGGGTAATTCCTGAGTGCAGAGCCAGGAGCAACCCCTGTGCATTGCGGGTGTGACCCAAAATAAATTTTTGAAAAAATAGAAAAAAAATATATATATACACACTAACACTAAACTCAAAAAAAAGGGGGGGGGGGTCGCCAAGGCACTTGCCTTGCACCTGCCTGGCCTGATCTCCAGCGTCCCAGACAGTCCCTCAAGCAATACAAAGAGTAAGCCCTGGGCCTCACCACTGTTGCCCCCTCCTCAAAAATTAATTGATAATAAGCAAAAAATAAAACAGAAAAGGCTGAAACAAGCCACGTGTCCATCAGCAGATAAGAGGCCGTGGTGACTGTGACAGGCTGTAACAATAAGGGACAGACCAGCCACCTCTTCTTCCAGCACCCAGAAAAGGGAAACTTAACAGAAGCAGAATCACAGAGGTGGCTAGGCGCAGGGCGACGAGTGAGAGGGAGGTAGGAGTTAACATCGGTTTAATGACCAGAGTCTCTCGTTTTGTTGCTTTGTTTATGGGCCATGCCCAGCAACGCTTAGGGCTCACTCCTGGTGGTGCTCAGGGGACCATCTGGGGTGCAGGGATCAAACCTTCCTTGGCCTCTGTACCCTATCTCTGGCTCCCAGAGTTTCTTCTTTGGAAGAGACGGCAAAGTTCTCGAAGGGGCAAAGGTGAAAGGACACTGGAGCGGATCACGCTGGCCTCCAGAGGAGAACATCCTCAACGACACCTTGCTCTCCGAGTGGAGATACAGCAGCGCCTGCTCTGCCGACCTGCAGAGTCCTGTGCTACTAAACAGATGCTGTTTCCAACCGCACAGCCGGGGATGCAGTGACGGGCCGCCGAAAAGGGTGATCTGGATAATTATACACATAGAAAACGCCGTGCTCTTTGACTCCGTGATTCCACCTCCACAATCAGGCCCAGATACAGCAGTTTGCTTCTACACAGAGCTGCTTACTTCGTGTTCTCTGCAAGTTAATTATGTACCTCCATAGAGTGGAATATTCTGGAAGCATTAAAAAGTGACACAAAAATTGCAGAAGTCAAAGCTACAAATACAGCAGCATAAATCACCACATGACCTTCTCCGAGGGAGTTATTTTATCACGGGGAAAGGAAACCACCTGCCTGAGCTTTCCTCTCGCCTCATTGGGGGTGGGGGGGTCGGCGGTGGGGGGAAGACGCCACCGTTGGGCTCTAAGGAGGAGCAAGGGCGGGCTGGGCTGGGCCCCAAGGGGTCAAGAGAGGGAAGTGAAACTAGCCTGCTGGTGCAAAACCTGGGGCTGTGTGTGGGCCAGGGGGGTCTCTTCCCTAGGCCCACCCCACTTTGATGACAACTGACAGAGATCAGCTAGATCAAACCCTCAGAGAATTCTGACACGTTCCCACCAGCTCCCACAGACTCAATGACACCAGCGGGGCATCTCTGGGAAAATCCCTCAACCCTTCCCAGACTTGGGTTCCTAATAAAATAAATGGGCGCGGTGGCTCCTGCTGGCAGCACCCTTGGCCCTGGGGCCCCACGCTGTCTGGCCGAGTGACATCTCACAGGCAGGTTTTTCCACGGAATCCTCACAGTCAGCAATGTGCACTGACCACTGTGCGGTCATGTGTCCCATCTGAGGGGCACAGACCTCTCAATGGCACTAGTGGGCAAGACCCGAGACAGGCTGGCCGTTGGCTGGTGCCTGGGAACGGGGCACAGGGAAGCGCTCCCAGCCTCCCTACCGAGAAGTGCAGCTCCTGGGATAGTGCTCCCAGCTTCCCTACTGAGACGTGCAGCTCCCGGGATAGTGCTCCCAGCCTCCCTACTGAGAAGTGCAGCTCCCGGGATAGTGCTCCCAGCTTCTCTACTGAGAAATGCAGCTCCCGGGAGAGTGCTCCCAGCTTCCCTACTGAGAAGTGCAGCTCCCCGGGCAGTGCTCCCAGCTTTCCTACTGATAAGTGTAGCTCCCGGGGCAGTGCTCCCAGCCTCCCTACTAAGAAGTACAGATCCCGGGGGAGTCCTCCCAGCCTCCCTACTGAGAAGTGCAGCTCCTGGGGGAGTGCTCCCAGCCTCCCTTCTGAGAAGTGCAGCTCCCAGGCCTGATCCTAATGGACAAGGTGGTTCCCGCAAGCACCAGCTGTCTCCCCGGCGCTGGGGAGCCAGGCCAGCCAGAGTGCACCTGTGCGACTCCTGGCCAGGGAGGCAGTCATGGGTGGCCCGCCGCTGAGACTGCTGTAAGCCCCCGCTTGTTTCCTCCGGACTGCACACCCACCTCCCGCTGCTTTCACCTGGCAAGCATCTACTGTCGAAAATTATCACTCTCAGCACAACTCTGACTCCTCCAAGAGGAAATGGGAGTAGTCTGGGGATTCCTGGACAGGCAGGAGCTGTCAGTCTTGTTCGGAGATAAGGAAATGAGGTTTGACAGAAGTAACGAGCCCGCCACAGGCATGGCACACCTGCAAGCACTCAGCCGCTGGACGATGCACTTCCCTCCTCTCTCTCCATCACTGCAATTTTATTATTAGTATTAGTATTTGGCTTGGGGCGACAAATGACAGTGCTCAGGGCTTACTCCTGGCTCTGTACCCAGGGATCACACCTGGCAGGCTTGGGGGACCATATAGGGTGCCGGGGATCAAACCCATGTCAGGCGCATGCAAGGCAAGTGCCCTATTATACTATAAGTCTGGACCAACTCTCTGTATCTTCATTTGGTTTGGTTTTGTCTGTTTGGGGGCCACATCCAGTGGTGCTCAGGCACTCCACCTGGAGGTGTTCAGGGATCACGCAACGCCAGGGATGGAACCCAGGGCTCCTGCATGCCAAAGCAAGTCCTCAGCCCTCTGAGCCATCCCCCCAGAACCCCTGTCAGGACACTGTTATGACAAGGAATTGTACTGAGGCTTAGAAGGATATCCTGGAAGGGGTCAGAGGCTGGGGTGCAGGAGAGTAACCCCAGACTTCGGGCAGCTCCTCCGGACATACTGAGTTTGAGCTCCCCAGCAGATGTCCAGGTGGTGGCCTCCAGCGGACAGCTGTGGAGTCTGCCCTTCCCACCTTCATCTCAATGGTCACATCTTAATTTCCCATGTATGTCCTCCCCTGCATTCCACCCCTCCACCTGCATCTCTCCAGGAATGGAAACTGTTTCCATCTCACTGGACGTTCCAAAACATGTAAATGGCAATTCTTTAAAATCTAGGGGCTGGAGTGATAGCACAACGGGTAGGGTGTTCGCCTTGCATGCGGCTGACCAGGGTTCGATTCCCAGCATCCCATATGGTACCCCGAGCACCTCCAGGAGTAATTCCTGTACAGAACCAGGAGTAACCCGTGCATTGCCAGGTGTGACCCAAAAAGAAAAAAATAAATAAATAAATAAAATCTAAACTGAAAATTCACTACAGGCCAGACAGCTGGAGCTAAGCACCAATGAAGCACTCTTCACCAGAAGAAGAGACGGTCACAGGCTCTGGCACAGAGTCCCCCAGTACTGCCGGGAGGGACCTTCAAGCACAGAGTCGGGAAAATGCCCAGCCCACTTCCATGTATCATGTGACCCAAAAACTAAACTGAAAGAAAGACAAATACACTATCCATGGGCCAGAAGTTAAGGCACCTGCCTTGCATGGGCCTCAGGTTCGATCACCAACACCCCCTGGTTTCCTGAGCACTAACCAGGAGAAGCAGCGAGCACTGCAGGTGGGTCCAAACCACTCCCGCCCCCCAGAAGACGCTTCTCAGGGCAGGGGGAGACGCTCAGCATGCTGGAAGAAGCCCCACGTTTGATCCCTAGCACCATGCAGTTCCTTGAGTGCTGTCAGTGTGGCCCTGGTGGCCCCGAGCACGACTGAGCTTAAGCAGAATCACTCCGCCAGGCCTCAGCTTTGAAGCCACCTACCCTGGTTGGCCAAGTGTCTTCCACAGCAGTGCCCTGAGCACTCCGTGGGGTTCCCCTACATATACTATCTCGGCCACACTAGCTCCATTTCAAATATTCAATAGGCACATTTCCATCAGCACAGAAAGTTCTACCGATGTCACAGTCTAGAAGATTATCTCTGAGTTGCCTCTGAGTTCACTGATTCCAGGTACCACGTCAGAGTCACTGCAAAGCAGCACAAATTCTTCCCTAGTATCCAGTCATGACAGTAGCTCAAGGGACAGTGCAGTAATGTCGGTGATACTTGCACTGTCTTGGAAAGTTCCATCTTTCAGGCTGGAACTCTTCTCTGGAAAATCTAGAAGCTTTTTCTTAGTTGCTTTTTATTTTTCGAAGAAGAGGGGAGTGTCTGAGAAGTGTGCTGTTCTGGCCTTTTTCAGAAGGCACTAGCTGAAGGGTGCTAATGGTTTCTTTCCACATTAATGAAACCCTTAATAAAATGAGTCCCTAGCCCCTCCCGATGATCATCATCAGAACCCACCGCAAAACCACACTAATTCACACGGGAGACATCCCCTTCCAGCTGAAAATCAGAGAGGAAGAAAGAAACTCCCACAAGGCCATCAAATTACCCCACCGACTGGGCCCTGGTCCTCATCCTGTGGCAACTGCCGCTGGGGTTTAATTATTTGACAGGACTTCAAGGTTTCCTGTGGCAGCACCCTCTCTGCAGGAGCTTCCAATTAAGGCTCCGCAGAGAAGCAGGAGATGTCCTGGGTGTCTGTGAGAATTAGAGGCCCCGCAGATTAGGAGCTTCCCAATCAGCAGGTGCAGAGGCACACGAGAAAGCAATTACCAGGAAGGGAAACAGGAACAGGGTGCCTTCTCCCTAAGCCTGGCACCTCCCTGGACACAGCAGGCTTCCCAGGGACAGTGCCCACAGTGTGACGAGCTGCAGGGACCTTCCACGTGGCAGCTGCTGGTCAAGTCCTGCAGAGGCCCCTCTGACAACCCCCGTATGGCAAAAGACAGAATGAGGGTTTTTGGGGGGTTGTTGTTTCCGGGGCTACACCCGGCAATGCTCAGGGGTTACTACTGGCTCAGCACTATGGAATTATGACTGGTGGGGCTCAGGGGACCATATGGGATGCTGGGGACCACATGCAAGGCAAATGCCCTACCCGCTGTACTATCTCTCCAGCCCCAAAATTAAAGACCTTCTTAAGGGGTGGACGAGGTGGGGGTGTTCATGGTTTTGGGGGGCCACATCCTGTGGTGCTTAGGGGCTACTCCTAGCTCCATGACCAGGGGTAGAGTCCAAGGAATTCCAGGGATCATATGATGAAACCAGAACCAGCCACATGCAAAACAAAAGCCTCTGCCCCTGTACTATCTCTCCAGCCAGGCCATGAGGCTTCGGAAATAAGAAACCACACCCTCCTTTTACTGAAATCCAAATGGAATCTTCAGTAAAAAATGGGAAATTGCCACAGTTCCTGGCTGTGTGGCCCTCGCAGGAAGAGAAGAGACAAGGAGCTGGGGAGTTGGCACAGTGGGTAGGGCACAGCCTTACACGCTGCCCACTAGGATAGCAATGATCCCAGGGACCCCGTATGGTCGCCCCAGCCCACCAAAGTCAGAAGTAAGCCTTGAGCACCAGTGAGTGTGACCCCAAGACAAAAAGAAACACAACAGATAAATGAAGGAAAGTCTGGCATGCAGAAGGTATTACATGAAGACGTGAATAAATGAAGCGAATCTCCAAGTCATGGTCATAGGTGCTACAGCAGGAGGAATGTGATGTTTCATAGAAAGGGCCACACAGCATGACGCCAAGAAGGGAAGGATGATAAGCCCCTCAAAAAGCCCAGTGGCCATCAGGCCATGTTCAAACTCCAGGGAGCCACTGGCCACGTTGCTTGAGAACAAACAGGTATTGGCTTCACCACTTATTGTTCTTTGTTTTGTTCTGAGGTGCCGGAAATGGAACCTGGAGCCTCACACATATAAGCAACCTTAAAGGATATACCAGCCAGGGCCTCAATGGCAACCCCTTTGGAAAACAATGGGTCAATATTTACTTCTCAGGTAGGGTTCTTTCAAGAATTACAAAAGAGGGGCTGGAGCCATAACACAGCAGGTAGGGCATTTGCCTTGCACGCAGTCAACCTGGGTTTGATTCCCAGAATCCCACATGGTCCCCCGAGCACCACCAGGAGTGATTCCTGAGTGCAAAAGCCAGGTGCAAAAGCATGGTGTGACCCAAAAAAAGGGGAAAAAAAGAATTACAAAAGAAAATATATATAAATCACTTATACAAGTCATATGAGAGCCATGAAACAGAAAAACCATTTAAAAAGATATACTGATATACATATACTATATATACGTATATATCCGGGGCAGGAGCTATAGTACAGAAAGTTGGGCATTTCCCTTGCACACAGCTGACCCGGATTCCATCCCCGGCATCCCATATGGTCCCCCCAAGTACTGCCAAGAGTAATTCCTGATTACAGAGCCAGGAGGAACCCCTGAGCATTGCTGGGTGTGACCCAAAAAGCCAGAAAAAAAAATTCTCATTAAAGAGATGAAATTCCCCTGGGGAGAGGCTCAGTAGCAGAGCGCATGCAGAGCATGTGGAAGACCTGGGCACAGTCAAGCCAAGCAGAAACGGTGCCGCGAGGCTTCCCCACGTGCTGGTCACTGGGCTAAGTTATTGAACGCAAGACCCCAAAAACGACTCGTGCCGGCCGTCTGAAGGAGGAACTCCTTGCGTACTCTTTGAGGGGCACTGCACCCTGGCTGGGCCAGCACTCGAGGCCGGGCAATTGGTCCGGGGCTCGCGTCCACGCTCCCACTCCCTGGCCACGTTTCCCCCCTCGAAGCCGAGGCGCCCGAGACATCTGAGCACTTTCGCGGGCAGTTTTGCTGCTGTTGATCTCGTTGATTACGTCCACTCCCAAGTCCACACTCCCAAGTGCTGGGAGGCGGGGTGACGGCCACGCAGCTGCGACTGGCGCGAAGTCGCCGAGCACAGCCCCGGGTGGGCAGAAACCTCCCCGCACGTGAGTCCCCTCGGCGCTTCGGAAGACCCCTCCCAACCCTGCCCAGGACACCCCCAAACCCGCACCACCGCTCCCGACGGCTCTCGACGCTCCCCCCACCCTCGCGGGCCTGGCACCTGGCCGGTTCCCGCTGCTCTTCTCCCCAACCCGCACCGGGGGTCGCCCGACACCTCCCGCGACGAGCCAGGCGGCCTGGGGGGGAAGGGAACCTGCGGGAGCGCATGCCCAGAAGGTTCTATTTGCCCCCCACTCCAGCCCCCTTCCAGCTCACCTGGGAGTCACGAAACTCCACCACCACGTTCTCGCTGCTCCATCGCGCCGCCATCTCCCGCGCCCTGCCGCCTCCCGACCCCCCGACCCCGCGTTCCGGGGTGCAGGGAGTCCCGAGCAGCCCGCGAGTCAGCCCTGCCACGCCCCGTTCCCCACTTTCGTCCGACCGCAAGCCATTGGCTGACCCGGACTTGGGCTCCGCCCCCTCTCCCCGCTCCTCCAATTGTGGCACCGCGCCTGCCCCCAAACAGGCACGCCCCCTCCACTTCCGTCCCTCAGCTGGTGTCACCCACGCTCCTCGAGGCTGTGCACCCACGCCTCCTGTCGCAAGTGCTGCCGGGAGTTGTAGTTCCAAGGTCGAGTCGGCGCGGGTAACCCGGGAAGAACTTGAAGACAAGGGTTTGAGGGAAGACTGAGCTTGCCCTTCCCTTTCTCCTTCCTGGTGTCCTTGGCAAAGCCCAAGTCGGTTTACAAACCAAACCTCGACGAAGATGCAAGTCCAAGATTATCAACTCCCCTGAGACCAGCCATAAATGCATTGGAAAGTCTAAATGCACTATTTATTGCTTCATACAATATCTCCTGCCAAAGTATCCATTACCGCGGGGCTGTCTCCAGGAAGACCCCTCCCTGTTGAGGAAGTCTCCAAAGGCAAAGCCTGCTTCATAATTCTCTAAGAAATTGCCTCCCTTTCACCTGTCATTCGTGTACAATAGAGTTCTCCAGAAGCTACGTGAATGGCATAAGAAACCAGAGGGTTCCTAGTTAGAAAACTAAAGGAGATTTTCCACTCTTCTTAATAAAAAAATGTTTTTGTTCCAGAAATACAGTAATTTCTCACTAATCAAATGTATTATTAATTGAATGCTTATTGATTTTTAAATATGAAGGGACCAGAGAGAGGTCAAGAGGCTGAGCACACGCTTTGAATACTGGAGGCTAGGTTCCCTCCCTGTCACCACATGGTCCCCCGTGTACCACCAGGAGCGACCCCCATGTACCACCAGGAGCAACTCTGGAGCACAGCCTTGAGTACCCGCTGAACACCACCAGGTATGGTCCCCAAATATAAAATAATAAAACTAATGAAATACAGAATCTTAAAAAAAAAAATGTTTTGTTTTACAATAATCACTACCAGATAAAATATACAGGAAAGTATTCTTTTCTAGGACTGGAGCAATAGACAGTGGGTAAGTGGGTAAGGAACACTTTGCACAAGGCTGACCTGAATTCGAACCTTAGCACCACATATAACTCCTCACATATCCAACCAGGAGTAATCCCTGAGCCACACCAGGTGTGGCCCTCCTCCAAAGAAAAAAAAGGGGGGGTATGGTAGCAGGTCAGTCTGTACCTGTGAGGTAAGTGCATCAGCAGTCTGATGGCGCCATCAGACTTTCAGATACCCAAAATTGCTTCTATGCCTTTGGCCAGACCCCAAAGACTTAGGGCAAAGATTACCAAGAAAGTAAATGGCCAAAAGTTAGGTATGTGGGAGACACACCCACAAACCACCTCCGGCTCAGCTATATAATTGGAGGCATGGCCTCTCTGGTTCCTGATTGAACTGCTTAACGGCCGTCATTCCAGAGACTCAGAAACAAATCTCGGAACACAACGGCTTTTGGCAGAAACGCATCCTGTTCCTGCAGTAGGTTACTGGCGCTGGGCCACTCCAGGTGGGAATAGGTTTCGTGCCTTGGCCTGCTCCCCCTGGCAGCCTAGTGACCGCCATCCTCCAGAGGCCGCTGGACAGTCAGGTTTGGGCCTGCAGTGACAAGACATACATACAGGGCCTCACAGGATGGGGGTGGAGCCAGCCCTTTCCTCCCCACCCCAACGAGAGCCCGAGTCGCCGCCCATAAACAGCCTCTCTGGCTCCTGATCAAGCTGCTTAACAGCCATGATCCCAGAGACTCAGGAACAAATCTCAGAACCCAGCAGGTTTTGGCAGAAATCCCTCCAGATTTAAGTGTTAAAATTTCGGAATTTCAAAATTGCGTGGCCACTACTGCAGCCACACGACATCATATGTTGTTCATAACCACGGTCACAGTCACGGTCCTCCCGTTGTTCATCAATTTGCTCAAGCGGGCCCAGTAACGTCTCCATCGTGAGACTTCTTGTTACTGTGTTTGGCATATTGAATACGTCACGGGTAGCTTGCCAGGCTCTGCCGTGCGGGCTAGATACTCCCGGTAGCTTGCCGGGCTCTCCAAGAGAGGCAGAGGAATCGAACTCGGGTTGGCCATATTGGCTGCGTGCAAGGCAAACGCCCTACCGCTGTGCTTCATAACCAGCAATAGAAAACAAATTGTCTACTGTTGCCTTTTCAGCAGATCTGAGTGTTGGGGTAAAATCCCAAATAATAATGGTGGGTCTGGTGTTAAAATATTGAATGTAATCAAAGTAGAGAGAGAATAATGTGGAAATCATCTGCCCCACAGGTAGGGGGAGGGTGTGGGATGGAGGTATTCTGAGGTTTTTGGTGGTGGAGACTGGGTACTGGTGAAGGTACGGGTGTTAAACCCAAAAGCTTTGTAACTGCTCTCACGGTGATTCAATAAATAAAATTATAAAAAAAATTTAAAAAGTAAGGTGGAGTTCATGCCCAATTCAATCAGCTAATCAGTGGCTGAATAAATAGCAGTACTCCTACATTAAAAAAAAAGAAGGAAAAAAAAGTGTTCTGACCCTCTTTAATAACCTGTAAGATCAAAAGGGGTCCTGAGCTCACAAAACTTGAGAGTGGCTGTGTCAGCCTGGGGAGCGATGAATCAATTCTCTTTTCATTCTTACCCTCCCTAACCCTCGCTGAACTGGTTTAGCTTCAGTTTCTCTATAGAAAGGGAAAATGAACTGCTAGTGGTTGAAAGAAGTTAAGTACAGAATCTAGACTGTATCCAATAATTCAGGTGTAAACTATGATTATTGGTGTTATTATCAATATTTCTCTACGGCAACACATGTGAGCAAAGGGGTCAGGCTTCCTTTCCCCCCCCCCCCCCCGCCCCGGAGTGCTGGCATCCCAGCAAACCCTCTAGCTCACACACACTGGACAGTGGGTCTCCGTCAATAGGTCAACACTTGGCAGCATTTGCTGTGTTTTTAAGAGACTTGCAAACAACGTGCCAGATGAGGACCGCCTTAAGGAAGGTCTGGACATGGAAACCTAAAAGAGAGGTGATTTTTTTGTGCTCTTCCATCTAATATTAGAATGTTTTGTTTGTTCATTTTGTTTTCGGGTCACACCCAGTGGTGCTTAGGGCTTTGCACTCAGAAATTACTCCTGTCAGTGCTCTGGGGCCCATAGGGATGCTGGGATTGAATCGAGGTCAGCTGTGTGCAAGGCAAATGTTCTACCTGCTGTACTCTTCCTCTCGCCTCTAGTATTGGGCTTGTAATGGAGTGCACTAATAGAAAAAGGCATGTCAGCAAGTAAAGTGTGAGCAGAGACCCAGGAGTGTGAGGCAGTGATGAGTTCCAGAGACAGACAGCAGGATGGTGAGTTCCTCATTCAGCTGCCCAGCACTGCAAAGAAAGTGACAAAATAACAAAGACATAAAGCAACTCCTGAGCACCTCTGGGTATGACCCCAAAAAGCCCCTTTCCCCAGAAAAAAAAGTAGCACCATTTATAATTTGTTTCTTTAACATTTTTTTTGCCACATCCAGCAATACTCAGGGGTTACTCCTGGCTCTGCACTCAGGAGTTACTCCTGGCAGTACTCAGGGGTATGCCTTGAAACTTGGGATGCCAAGGTTCGAACCCAGGTGAGTTTCATGTAAGGCAAATGCCCTAACCACTGTACTACTGCTCCAGCTCCAGTTTCTTTGATATTTTCAAGCCCCAGGAGTCCAGGGACCAGGTCACACACAGCAGGGTGACTATCCCTCTCCAGGGTGAGTGCATATTCAGGATTCTCCATGAACGGACATGGAGAGCAGATAAAATCACAGCCCAAGTGTGGTGAGTCCTGGCCAGGTCAGAAGGGCACCTGTGAGACAGGAGTGATTTCGAAAACTAGTCAAAGTCTTGATTCTTGTGTTTCTTTCTTTTCCTTTTTTTTCTTTTTTCTTTTTTTCTGGTACCAGGAATTGAACTCCAGGTCTTATAGGTGTAAAATATGGGTTCTGTTTCTGAGCCCTTTACTCCCTAGCCCTTCGCTTTTACTTTCTTACACCTAAAATGAATCAAGCATCATTTTTTTAAAAAAATACTTCGGCATGGAGCAGAGAGGTAGTTTAGTAGGTATGATCCCTGAGCACCATCAGGAGTGATCCCTGAGCACAGAATCAAGAGAGAGCCCGTGTACCATCAGGTATGGCCCCCAAGCCAAGGGGGAAAATTCCTTTAGTTGTTTCCCACTCAGACTTACCAGTTAGTCTCACACACTGCAGTCCAGGTAGAAAACTCAAAGAGTTTTAGTGCATACTGGCTTGCACAGGGCCCAGATTTGGGCTCTGGCACCACGTGACCCACCAAACATGCTTCAGTGCCCTGGTGGCCTCTTGCACCACTAGAGAGGTTGCATGTCCCCCAAATAAAATTCCAGCCCTAACCTCCACATTCCTGTACGGGTTGTTATCCAGCAACCAGGTCCTTAACAATTCTCCCTTATAAAAGGCTTCAGCTAAGCGCTGGAGGAATAGATAGCACATGCTTTGCACGAGGTGGGTGGGGGGTGGGGTGGGGATCAAGTTCAATCCTCAGCACCGCTGAGAATCACGGGAGCAACCCTTACAGAGCTGGAAGTAGTTCCTGAAAACTACCAGATATAGTCTCCAGACCCAAAAGGCTCATAAGGTCAGGGAGAAGGCCACCTGCAAGCCAAGCACAAAAGCAGGTAGAAGGAAAGATAAAGAATGCTGTCTCGGGGCCAGGGAGATTGCTCAAGGGCTTTGCATGCTGGAGCCCTGGGTTCAACACCCAGAATAGCAGGGTCCTCTAAGGATTACAAAGAACAACCCCTGAGTACTGAACTGGGAGTCATCTCTAGCACACAAGAAAGAGAGAAAGAGAGAGAAAAGAAAGGAAGAAAGGGTGGAAGGACGAAAGAGAAAGTGTTGTTTAGCATAATCAGGCCATCACAGAGGACTAAGTGGGCTAATTCATCTAACACATCATGTCATTACTGCTTTGCTTTT